GATGTATGTAACTGCCTGTAACTAGGGCAAGAATTTCATGTTATTTCCTGCTCTGCCCCTGGTGTCTGTACACAGAAGGTGCTTCAAAAATATTTAAGTGAATAGATGAACTAGCCGGCTGCTAGAAATCTGGCTCTGAGCTGCCTAGCACCCAAAGCGAAAAGGAAAAACGGTTAGCTACAAAATTCAGTATCCATCCAAACCTCACCTTCACAATGCACAGGCTCCTCAGGACGTTTCCTCTACCAGGTCTCCAACTCCACACGTACCAGCTGCGTCAGACTGACCAGGAAACCCACCCTTCAGCCAAGACGGACAGCATTCAGGAGGGACCCAGGTCCCCTTCTCCTTGGTGAAGAAAACACTGTAAAAAGCAGTTTTCTCTCTCCTCTATGCCACCCTCCCTCCAGCCCCAACTTCTGTGCTGATCTTACACTTCTTTCTGAAGTGTCATTCCCGTCTGCGGATGGCGGAGAGGGGACAGCCAGCACTGAGGTCACATGGGCACTGACAGGTTCTGCAGCCCAGCGACATTTGGCACCCAGAACATGGAGTGTTTAGGACACAGTCCTCTGCATCCCAGCAGCTCACAGACGTGAAGAGATGGTGACAATAGGGTGAGATGTGCTGTGAGGAGGCCAAGCGCCCATAGCAGGGACCCGGGCTGAGGGCAGGGCTGGGTACCGGAAGGGCGGGGCTTGGGGGCTTGGCCCAGGGGCTCATCTGCAAGGAAGGGGTGTCGCGAGGGGCCAGGAGAGTTTCAGGCAGTCAACAGCACATACAAAGGTCTCCCTAAAAGCTGCCGATTTGGGATTACTGGGAAGACAAGGCCCATCAACCCTCAGGGGCAGCAAACTCCATGAATGGCACCCTGCCCTGGGACTGTCAGGGGCTAATACTTGGACATGCATGCAAAACCCATTTTGACATAAAATACATATTTCGTTTTTGTAAGTTTTACTTTACACAAGCCAAGACCACAGGACTAAGAATCACCCACCATGAATGGGGAGCCAGTGACCCAGTGATTAGAAAACCATAGGGTTCCCTTCGTTCACCAACTGCCAGGACAGCTGGTTGGTCACCTTCACGTGTGACCTTGGGACTGCTGGCTGACACCCGTCAGGCTGGGTTTCTGGGCACCGTCAGAGATGTGGTTCAGCAAATGCCCAGATACCCTTGGTAGGGCATGTCTCCGTGTGTTGCCCAGGATGCTGGTACTGTAAAATCTATCGTGAAGGTGTCTGTGGTCTGATAACTTTGGGAAATGCAGCCCTCCCTTAAAAAGTCCCAATGCACGTTAGCATCATTAAGGACCTGAGAAGTCCTGCAAAGAACCCTCTGATTTTGTTTAACCCATGGCCGCCCAAACTGAGATATCCATGGAACTTTTTGCCTTATCACATTTATTTACCTCCCTGGAATCTACGGGTCTCCATCTCAAAGGCCACTGACAGGAAAGCGGGAATGGGCAGGGAGCCTTACAAATGAAAAGGCAATGTTTCTTTGAAACAAATAAACAAGGAACATTTGTGCTAGTGGCAGATCAAAAATTATTTCCTCAAAAAGTTGGAACTATTTGAAGATACAAATAGCACCCTCGTAGCAGTACATCACCACCTCATGACTTCCTAGTCTCAGTAATGCACACACCAACCACCTCCCTCTGTCTGCCAACCGAGAAAGGGGGGTAGGTGACAAGATCAGAAACACGGCCTTCATTTTGCAGGGCAAAAAAGCCACTATGGGCCATGCTTCTGCTGTGTGTGTGTGTGGAGGGGAGGGGTGGGGAGGGGTGTGTGTGTGTGTGTATACTTTGGAATTGAAACCCCAGCTTCACTTTTAGTCCTCACTTTTCCAGTCCTGTTAATGGGTCCTTAGTCACGTATTTTAATTCTACCTTCATCTCAAAAAAACCCATGTTAAGTTTAGAGCATTACTGAATGATGGTTAAGCCTTTTTTATTTAGGTAGACATGGGTTCAAGGCCAGCCCTCTCACTGTGATCTTGTTCGAGTTACTTCACTTCTCTAGGCCTCAGTGTTCTCACCTGTAAAGTGGGGATCACAGTAACAATTAGCATTGATTATGGGCTTGTGACCCGTAGGTCACAGAACTCTCAATGAATCCCAATGACTCTGCCCCACATTGGGAAAGAAGTGTGTGAGCTGAGTAGTTCGATAACCCACCCAAAGTCACGGTGCTGGAGGCCACGTGGCCTGATGGCAGTTCTCTGCCTAAATCTCTAGGCTTTACATCCTTCCAAAAGGAGCCAGTTCCATTACCTGCAGCAAAGCGTAAATGGCAAGGACATGTGAAATTTTAGCACAGATCAGGCACCTAGAACATGCTTAATAATCTCGGATCTTACAGGTCCAGGAGCCCTTATCTGAAATCTTGGAGCCAATGAGTTTTGCAAGTCAAAATTTTTCGAAAGAATTTTCAAGGGAGTAGAAAGGCAACCCCACAGAATGAGGGAAATGTTTGCGAATCACAAATCTTTACATACCAGTGTATGTAAAGAACTCCTAAAACTCAACTACAAAAATAAAACAATCCAATTCAAAAATGGGCTAAGGACTTGAATAGACATTTCTCCAAAGATAGACAAATGGCCAATAAGCACATGAAAAAAATGCTCCGCATCACTAATAATTAGGGGAATGCAGATCAAAGCCACAGTGAGGTATCATCTCACACCAGTTAGGATGGCTACTATCAAACAAAGCTATTACCAAGGAAACAAGTGTTGGTGAGGGTGTGGAGAAATTGCAACCCTTGTGCGTTGCTGGAGAGAATGGAAAACGGTGCAGCTGCTGTGGAAAACGGTTTGGCAGTTTCTCAAAATATTAAACACAGAATTAACGTATAATCTTAGTAATTCCACTTCTGGGTATGTAAACTAAAGAACCGAGAGTGGGAAATTCAAATACATATTTGTACAGCCGTGTTCACAGCAGCACTGCTCACAAAAGCCAAAAGGTGGAAGCAACCCAACATCAGCAGATGGATAAACAAAATATACACTGGATTATTATTCAGCCTGAAAGAGGGAGTTCTGACATGATACAACATGGATGGCCCTTGAAGACACTGTGCTCAATGAAATAAACGAATGCAGCCAGACACTCAAGGACAAATACTGTCTGATTCCAGTTATGAGGCCCCTAGACAGTCAAATTCAGAGACAGGAAGTAGAATGGGGTGGCCAGGGACTGGAGGAGGGAGGAAGTTGGGGGGTTAGAATTTAATGGGAACAGAGCTTCAGTTTGGGATGAACAAGCTCTAGAAATGGATGGTGGTGCTGGTTGCACAATGTGAATGTACTTAATGTCACTAAACTGTACACTTAAAAATAGTTATGTTTTATGTGTATTTTACTGCAGAAGAAAAATGGAAAAGATGGAGGAGTGATTCACACACTGCCTTGTAGGCAGGTAGGTTAGGAAGCATGCTGCTGGCCTGCACACGTCCCCCGGGCACACGTCACCCAAGCACACCCCTTGCTCCTTGTCTTTGCAAAGAGCATACCTCAGCCCACAACTGAGCCGACTGTGAAGCGACACCCGCCCTTCCATCATCACACGCATCATGCTTATGGAGCTGCAAAAAGAAACTCCACTTCCACCTGGACTGTTCTCAGGCATATCACGGTCTGAACGCTACACACTTGACCTGGCTTTGTTCTCTGTTAGGCCTGGGGAGGCAGGGTCACAGTGGCAGGAAGGAGCTGTGGCACCGAGGCGTGGCCTGACCTACCCAGTGAATTCTGAGCAGTACAACCAACACACAAGCATGGAGCGCTTAACCAAATTCCTCAGGATTAAAATATGAGGTCTGACAAGTAATAAGTTCACCAACTCATCCTAGAAAAAAAAGTGCTACATTCCTCATTGCTGAATATCACTAGTCATCTTCAAAGTACTCCCCGTGGGAAGCTATGCACCAACGCCAGCGCCTAGTCCACCCTTCAAAGCAATTTTGGAACTCTTTTTCTGGAATGGCCATCAGAGCTGTCGTCGTATTACCCTTGATGTCCTGAATGTCATCAAAACGTCTTCCTTTCAATATTTCCTTTATCTTCGGGTAAAGAAAGAAGTCATTGGGGGCAAATCAGGTGAGTAGGGGAGGGTGTTCCAATAGTTATCTGTTTACTGGCTAAAAACTCCCTCACAGACAGTGCCGTGTGAGCTGCATTGTTGTGATGGAACAGCCATGAATTGTTGGCGAAAAGTTCAGGTCATCTAACTTTTTCATGCAGCCTTTTCAGCATTTCTGAATAGTAAACTTAGTTAACTGTTTGTCTAGTTGGTACAAATTCATAATGAGTAATCCCTCTGATATCAAAAAAGGTCAGCAACATCGGTGCAACAAGTTCGTGAACTTACTTGTCAGACCTTGTATATATAATTTTTTCTTCTTTAGTTTAGAGAAGTGAGAGGGAGGGGAAAGGAAGGGATTCATCTGAACTCTTATAAAGGCAAGCTAAAATTTTTTTCTCATTCTAAGAAGCTTATACTTACCATCGTGTTCCCCCAGCCAAGCCATTCTATTAGTGCTTACTTTACAGGTTACAAAAAGATTGGGTCAAAGCTTAAAAAAACAACATTCTTTCTTAAGCAACAATTTGGAAGTGGGTCCTAAAAACCTAGAAGCTAACATTCTGGCCACTTGATTTCAGAATAACCAAATTCTCTTAAGAAATGTGTCAAATCTATCATAAATAACCCAGGACCTGGATCCCATCAAAGTGGCAGAATTTCAGAAAAACACACTGGTATTATTTAAATCTTGAAAAGAAAAAGACAATTGTTCCTATATTAACTCTACAAGTAGATGTGAAGCAGAACTTGGTAAACAAGATTTCATCGTGTTAAAATATGCATTTTCATACAATAGTGGGATTAATTAACAGTTTAAAGGTCATTTATGCCACGACTATTTACATCATCACCCACTCGCACTGAATCAAACTGAGAAAAGAAAAAGAAGGACACAAAATGAACAGACCATAACTTTATTGGAGATTTACTTGGCTACAATTATTACAAAAAAATGACTAAAGGTATAATTGTGACCCATAGGTGCAGACCGCAAGTTTCCGTAGCGCGCTTACTGTGTGCATGAGTTACATCGTGTTCCCTAAAAACAGCTGCAGCATGTGATGGTAGATACTGTATTGTCGATCAAATTACATGTTAGTTTTACTTGATTTTAGTCATCCTCCTTCACTCTATTTACAGCAGAAAAGCCAGAAACATTACTTCCTGTTCACCTTTGCATTTTTGTTCTGCAACCTGCCGCTGCAGTGAACTCGAAACGCATCCATAAAATTGAAATTGTCTGTGGTTAACATCCAAATAAAAATGGACTAGGAAAAAAAAAGCAATTAATGATTAAAATATATTTACAAGTTCGTTTTGCAAGGTCATTTTCACTGCTAGTGGAAAATACAATAGTCTCAATGCAAATTCCCTAGATATTGCTACTGGCGTCTCCAACAACTTTTAAAATCATTTTAATATTCTTGGTCTTCGACATATCTTAAAAACTTTTCATGTACAATATAAAGAAATTTATTTGGAAATAATTAAATTCCTGAAAAATGATCAGTGGTTGAAAAAAATAGACCTATGTAAATGTTAATTAAAATAACCATACAGGTAACTAAACATGACATGAAGTTCTCTTTCGTGAATAACAAACTGGTTAAGGAGTCTTACCCTATTTCAGATGCCGTTTAAATAAAAATATCCAGGTCTGTTTGGTGGCATAAATTTCGTATAAAGGGATAGATATCCTAACAGAGCAAGATATAAAGTTTTAAGTCTGGGCCTTAAGCCTGAACTGTGGTAGGTCTGGGTTTTGATGATTCTCTGTCCTCTGCAGTCACTGCCTGATTTCAGGTAATGACTCAAAGAGCTGACGGCTAGGTGAATAATTGTATTTATGAACTGAACCAGCAAAACCAATGTAGCCTCAAGTCTCCTGCTGTTTAGCAGGGTAACTTGAACCTTTCTGAGGGCAAGCTATTATTAAGAAAACAAAAATATTAGTATTTTAAAAAGATAATTACAGGAGTGTTAGAGGTCATTCTAAATGTAATCACTTCACATCACGTAAAAGAAAGAAGAAAAAAAAATGTAACAAACACTTTTAAAACATAATTAAGAGTTCAGTTAACAAATCTTCGTCATACTTTCACAAACAGTAAAAATGCCACAGACAAAAATGACCTATTTAAGTTGTGCAAGTATATGACACATTGCAGGCATTATAATTCTCTTTTTCAAATTCGGTAAATCAAAACAGCAGCGAGGCCAAACCACATTTTTTCCTCTCAGTTAAGCATATTTTCCTTGAAATGAGGTAAAGCATGGTACCAAGTGCAATGGTCATCTGTGCTACATGAATAGGAGAGAGGGGAACAAAAGCTATTACAAAACGCAGCATAGTTAGGACAGCTGAAAAATGTGTTAAAGAGAAATTAAAAACATTTACAGTGAAGGCTCACGCCACCTAACTCCCGCACAATCATAAGGAATTGCTGTAGCTGCTTTGCAAGACCCGCTTCGCCAGCCCTTCCCTTCGCACGCATGCGTAACGCACGACACCTCCCACTAGTAGGTTGTCCATTTTACATTTGGTCTCACATTGCAATCACAGCAACAAAAGGATGACACACACGGCTGGAAAGTGGGGTGACAGAGTGATTTTGTTTCCTTAATTAATGAATGCAAAACATTTCTTTCAACAAGCTAAACTGGGGAAAACTTTACAGCATTAAAAATCAGCAGCACAAAAATCAGCGTTCAGAACTGTTTCGTATGTCTAGCTCATAGTTTTTATTTTTTCATGTAGGAACCAGGGGATCATAGAATGCTTCAAAGTGTGAGTCACAAATTAAAATCAGCTATTTTTCTCCAGCCCCCCCTCCAAAAAAAAAAAAGTATGAAATAGCTAAAGTTTGCTGTTGATAAAACATTTTGAATGGTAGCAGGAAATTTGAACCCCTGAGAATGTATGACCTAAACATATCCAAGTCTGAACTTTTTAGTATTAACAAAAAATACTCTTCTTAAGGTTACAAAATATATTGAGGCATTTTTCTCCCAACGGGAATTGTAACTGTGAAACAAACTGATTTCGGTGCCAGGAGGTGAGAGAATCCCTTAACACTGGGATTAGTGCACTGCACACAATGCAAAGCCCTAAGCTCCTGGCATCAGGTAGTTTATAAATTATCAGGAGATCTGTGACACAAAGTCATTGCAAATCACCTCCCTCACGAGTAAAGTTCACATCCAGCCTTACTTGTTCATTGTTCACGTTTACAGTTATAGAATTCAAGAACTGCCTGGTTTTAACTTGCCAGATCTTACGTTGAGGTTTTTTAAAAAAACAAACAGAAATCTAAGGTTCCAAATCAGAATTCAGTATTTTAAAGACAAGTCCGCCCAAATTAATTTGCTCAAAAACATTTAATAACTTAGATCTCAATTTAAGTTTAAGTTTGGAGACAACAAATAGTGTTGGAGAAGCTAAACAGCCCTTCACTCAGGTCTCCTTAGCAAGTGGAGCTGACAGTTTTTTGTATGACACGTGCAGAGGTGTTTCCCTGGGGGCAGGTGCTGCAGATAAAGCGAGAAGTACAGTATTGAACTGCAATTTAAACATAAGTGCAGCATGACATGAAGCATCAAGTTCAGAACGATGTGCTGGAAAATATTAGACACCTCTGCTCAGCTTTCTCAAACTTCAAGCATAATTAATAGGGCAAATTGCAGCAAACCTCTACTGGTATGTTGGTGGGAGTGCAAAACCGACCCACAGCTTTTATAAAGGTAAACTAAGAGGTATTATAGGTACAGTGCAAAAAAAAAAATTAAAATTTCAAGCATAATACATAAACATAGCACCAAACAGGGGAAAAAAACGCATGCAAAAGAAAAGAAGAACTGAGGTATTTAAGTGAAGAGTGCCTACGGGTCTAATTAAAGAAACTTAGGCAAATGCCTAAAAATATCTTTTTTTCTCTTTTCCAAAGATGGAAATAATGAGCTAGTTTATCTAAATTAATGAGCTAAATCACAGATGTATCAAAATTACGGCAGTTTATCGCAAACGTTAAACTTTCATGGCATTAACAGCACAGCTTTGGTAGGTGAAATCTGCATGCAACACTGTGAAAAGTACAGTAAGAAGTCATGTGAGAAGACTAAGGGTAAAGGTGCTGGGTTCTGCTTCTTTAAATAAGTCACCAATCAATTATAAAATCTGCAGCATATTTTAGGTGTGATATGTCTAAAGTTTATTTTGTAAGAGAAACAGCCTACAGGGCAAAACTATTTGCCACAAACAATTTCCATCAGTGGAACTACCTAACGGGAGGTTTTTAGTAAAATTGGGTATTTAGCCAAAGATCATTTTTATTGTGGTGCTTTAAAAAAAAATCCAGACTACATATTCTGGTTTTTAAAATGTCTTCAGTACATATATGACAGAAACTGTAATATCCTGTAATAAGTTAAGTTACAACTATACTAACGAGTTGGAAATATCACGCTGTCTCAACATCTAATGCATAATAAAATAAAGGGAATGTAAAACAGTTTGTTCCAAAAAGATCAGAAATTAAAGACCATTCATGAGAGTGTTACTTTTAAGGCAAGAACCTTTTTTATGCAAGACTATGTGGCATGAGAACACTAAAATCTGATTCACCAACATGCCAGCCAATGCTATTTAGAAACCTGTCCCTTACAGTTAAGTGCAACAGCGACCGGGGAACCGCATCTTACACAATAGAACATGGAAAGAAAAGACGACACTGGCACACCTCTCCTCTTGCAAACCGCATCATTCTACTCGGCTTATCGGTTATGTGGGACTGGCACGGCTGCACGAAAATGAGGACTGGCAGGAGGGCTCTAATATAGTTCTAGGGACTGTGAGGTTTCAGCTCTGCGGCTTCCTAACACTAAGCAAAGGTGACAGAAATTAAACTAAAACAAACAAACCAACAAAAAACTCAATAATTATTTTGAACACTTGCTGTCATCATTAAAGCACTCTTGTGATTTAAACAAAGCAGAAGTGAGGAAAGAAGACAAGATTGTGTTTGCGCAAAAAACTAAAACTACGATTAGTTCCAAAATTTTTATACATATGTTAAATGTTTTATTCTGTAATCTAGCTTGTTATCAAACTTTAAATTCTGCCTTCAATTCATTTCGCTCAGTATCAACTTTAAATCATCCTTTTCAATTTAAATATTTTCCACCTTAATTCTGCTTTTTTTTAAATTTTAAAAAGGGTTTTCAGCTGTTGGGAACCTGAGGTTGGTTAGCTTTGAGGCTTCGTAGGGCTCTCCTTGCTGCTGCTGATTTGGCAATCCTGTAGCTTCGGCCAACACCTTTAAATTTCCCCTTTCCTACTACTTCCACGGTGACTCTGACCTTGCCATCATACGTCCTCTCGGCTGGGCTGTAAAGGGCCAAACAGCTTGAATTAGAAGTCGGAAGTATTTATTATCACTGTCAATCAGCACTGAGCATGCAGTCAGGCCGAGCTGTGCACAAGCTGACACCACACAAAGGCAACGAGCACGATGCCTTCTCACACACCGACAGCACTTTAATTCAGCATCACTTTATAGAAACAAAGCGAGAAGTCAATCAGACTACAAGTGGCAATCGCAGAAGAGCGTGCCCCAGTGTAAATATTTTCCAGAATCATTAGTTTACGGCATCTGTGAGAACTCCTCCCCCACCGTTTTTAAGTAAGTTAATTTTTTCCATGCACATTTTTGCTTACCTAAATTTGGCGGTTTCTGGCTCCATTTCAAGCAATTCTCGCACAGGGGAACGGGGCACATTTGCAGAAAATTTTTCTATAATCAAATGAAAGAATACTGTGAATAATATCGTTGACGGTGTTTTTAATTTTGATTTTGCTTCTTTCGAAGGGGAGCCAACAGTACCTATTAGCGGCCGCATCATAGGATAGTACACCTGCCAAACCGTCTCCAGTGACATTCCACTATCCATGTAAATGGCACCAGCAAGTGACTCAAAAATATCCCCCATGGCCTTTGGGACTTCAATGTCCTCTTCTTTCTCTTCGTCCTCCTCAGACCTCCTAAGCTGTTAACGGAGATAAAGGGGCTCGTAAGCAAAAGGGCCATTTTTGAAGGCAGTCCACAGGGGCGCATGTCATTTCTGGGATATGACTTTCATCGTATCTTTAACAAAGGTAACAAAACCAACCATTTATGGCATGCTCACTACGTTGTAATGGGTATTTCACAAACATTATCTAAAAATAAAAGTATTTTCAAAAATCCCCTCCCATTTAACATTCTATACCCAGCGAAGGGAAAAAGATTATTGCTAAACAGAAACAGCTTAACACAAAATAAGAGGTAGTCAATAAACGTATATATATATTTTTTAATAAATGTATTTTTAAAACTTTTCCAATTCCCTTGTAACCAAAGACCTGCACATGTAACGGTGCTGCCCCCGGTGCTGGCAGGACGAGGCAGAGCACTGATCAGCGCAGCACTGGTGAGGGTGTACGCTGCTCTGGGGAGTGCAAACGGCCACTTTCAGGGCAGGAAATTCTATTGGGAAGATGTTTTCCCCCAAGTTCCCTTTGTATCAACTACTGAATACATGTTAGCTATAGGAGGGTACCTGACACATAGAAGGTATTCAAATTAATGGAATAAAGTCTTACATACATATCAAAAGCCTTTTAAAAAGTTCATAATTCTCTGATGCAGCAATCCATCTCTAGGAATTCAGCTTAAGGAGGTAACTGGCTATACAGGCATATTTATCACATCCATGTTTATTAAAAGCCCTAACTAAAAACAACTTAAACATCCAGCCACAAGACTATTTAAATACATTACAGTTGTATATTGACTAGTGTGCAGCTACTGAAAAGTCATAATGCCAATCAATACAGGGAAAGTCATCCACAATGTAGTAAAAGAGGAGGTGATAGTATATTATGCATAATACCATTCCATTTTATGTATGTTTACGTCTACATACGTTAGCAATAATACATCTCCAAATGTTAATTTTGGTTACCGCTGAGGTAGTATATTAGTGCAACTATAATTAATTTTCTTTGTGTTTATTTGTGTTTTCCAAAATAAACCAAAGTTACTTGTGAAAGAGAAATAAAAAGAAGGGAGGATAGTAATTTCTAAATAGATTGTTTAGTCACACCAAGTTCTAACACATTTATAATGCTGACTACTGGAAAAGTAAGATAGTTATTGTTCATATATCGAAGTTTTGAGGTTGGAAAAAATTTTAAAACTTGGGGAGTTTAATTTGCTCCTTTTACAGATGAGGAAACTGAGGTCCAGAAAGGTGGAGAGGTTTTCTTAAGATCGAGTAGTGAATCAGAAAAGCCAGACCATGACATGTTCAGTTTTTGTAACTTCTATACATGTTCATATAAACAAAGGGAAGAAGAATGACAAAAGCTAACAGAACCAGTATGTCCCACTATCATCAAAGGGGAATTTAAATCTAATTTTAGTGAATTCCTCAAATTCTAAGTTTAACTATCCCTACAGAAGGAGACTAGAATAATACCGACTATACATGAGGCAGCGGCTCTAATTCCTAGCCTCGCTGCCAGCTGTGCTCCAGCTCAGGCTGTTGGCCTCGGGAGAGCGCACAGGCGAAGGAGCACCGCCTAGGAACTCCCCGCAGCACAGTCTGCAGTGTACACGTGAGACACGCTGCCCTGTGGCTAGATCTCAAAACCGAGTCTCACAGAAAGTCAAGGAAATGCACTACACCCCCAACGGTTTGGTGCAATTAACAAAAGGGAAGGTACATATTAAAGAAAGGAGGATTAAAACGGCTACCAGAGTTGTGAATAAATTCCTTAACTCCTTGGAAGAGATCTACAAAAATAAGAAAACCAAAAGGAAGCGGATGAGAAGAGTAAGGAGTGAGTGTTCTCCTGGGTCCACGGGGATGCAGGTAGATGTCAGTAAAGGACTAGGGGAGGCGGGAAAGGTCCGCGCAACAGCCTCCCAACAACACTGCACAACAGTTCACCAACACACTAGCAGGAGCGCCGCACCAGACAACCTTTGGCTGAACTTACAGAAGCCTCTCCAATTCCAATGGTTACAAATCTCGAAGTTTGGTTTTTAAATGAGATCCTGCCACTCCAAGCAGCAGCAGAGAATGTCTGTGCGCTGCTTACCTGCGACGTGAGCGGACATTCCCATCCACTTTGAAGCGGAGGGCAGCCCTGCGGAACTCTAAGGGCACGGCCTCCGCACAGCTAACTCGGGGAGCCCGAGGCGGATGCCCGCGCCTGGCGCCTTGACTTCAGGTGAGCGCCACCTCACCGCAGCGCGGCGGTCAAGTTTAAAAGGCCCACTGGGAGACTCCCGCTCCTCCCAGTTCATCCCCGAGACCGCGCGCGCGGCGTGCGGGGCCGTCCCTGGGCAGCTATGCCGCCAGCTGAGGACCGCGGCCGGATGGCTCGCCCAGACGCGCACGTGCTCTCAGGAGCGCTCACCTCGGAGTCCATTCCTTGCATCTCGTTCTTCTCCAGCTGGAACTGCACGAAGTCGTCGATGACGTGGAAGAGCTCGGGGGACACCGCTTTGAAGTACTTGTGGTATTCGTACTTCACGGCCAGCGACGCGAAGATGGTGTTGTTGACCAGAGCGGAGCGCAGGTCGGTCAGGACCCCCGGGGAGTGCTGCCGCGGGTCTTCGTAAAGGTGCTTGGTGATGAGGTAGTCCAAAATCGCATCCCCCAGGAATTCTAAGCGCTGGTAACAATCTGAGGGAGGGGCCAAAGCGGAGCCATGAGCCAGGGCACAAACATCTCCACAGGTTCCACATGCTCAATGACAGAAAGGTCTGGTCCCCAGAGCCACTTAAGAGACTTTTATTTGGGTTCGTTTCCATATACAGTCTTCAGCGACAGAATTATTTGATAGACCATACTGATGGAAGCCTCTGGCAATTAATTTTAATGGCAAATTAAGCTCATTTCTTGTATATAAATTGGGGCCAGAAAATCTTTTAAGTGGCCCAAAGACTAATGTTTGTTAAGGATGAAAACCTTCCCCAAGTGACATCATGATCACTGAACCCTTTTCCTCTGGCACGGAGCTGGCCAGGCAGGTGCTGGGGCTCTGTCCTCAAGTCTCCATCACATACCATCACCTCAGGGAAGCCAGACCCTGCACACGCCTGCCACACGCTCTCCGCTTAGCTGCCGTGATTGTACACTGACCCACTCCCACTCAGGAACGTGTGACACCATGCCTCGTCCCTCCTCGGTTCTATCTGCCACACAGGATGACAGTACAAGAAGACTCTCTTCTCAACCTGGATTAGAAATGTTGGATTTGACACAAACCAAGAGACTGAGAAAGGAGACTTGTGGGAGTGAGCAGAGACGTTAGGCAAAAGCAGTCAATCGTCAAAATGTGAAACGTTATCAGTACTAACCAGCACCTCGATCTTCTCAGCGTGATTAGAGAGAGTCCAGTCAAGTGAGGAAAAGTGAGGGAGGGGCCGGTGAAGTGCCTTGTCCCGGCATCCCCGTGAGTGAAGAGGCAGGGGCCGGGGCAGGCTGAGCCCCAGACCCCATGCCATAGTGCGCAACAGAAAACCGAGCCTCATTTCTTCCCCACCAAGAAAAGAGGTTTCAGTTTCACCAGCGTCTTTCCAGTCCAGAGTCAGATCACTTTTCACTTTTGGGCTTTACATTTTTCAGACCATCTTAACCTACATTGTTTTTCTTAAACTATGCCTTGGTATTCTGGATTCAAGCACTTGTTACTCTGATACAGAAAAAACATGGAGACCTGAGCTGTGTTTTGCAAGCTGAAGCTGAGTTTAGTTTTTAGGCGCCTATTTTTCCTCCTAATCTAATGGGTTGGGAGCCTATTAAATAGAGAAGGGGAAGGAGCACAGAGCACAGTGCAAAGCGAAGATGGCAGGAGCCAGAGCAGGGCGGTGACACCGTCCGTGAAGTAGTTTTTTACCATCTAGTCCTCTTGTGATTTAAAAAAACCTTAAGACAGGCGGATCTTTTTGTTCAGGAAGAACAATAAAAAGATGTGGAATACATCCAGACGATGCAATAAAATCAAGAACCACAAGCAGCACTGAACAGGCATCAGAAAGACACTGGGGTAAGATAAAATGGGAGAAACACAACAAAATACTAAGGCTCAAGTTTCTCTAATTACGCAGCACACAAAATGATACACACGCGAGTATCTAAGATAGCTGTCCTCCCAGCTGTCAAAGGTAAGGAGCAGGCACACTCCCAGGGAGAGGACGAAAAGAGGCCGCCTTCCTTTTTCTTGTTTCCTCCCCCGACCATGCACAGTAGGCTCTAAGTCTGTACATGCACAGAGCATTTTTTCACAAGACTCACAATCATGCGATTAACACACAGTCTCCTCCTCGGAGAAGTGGAGCTGGGTCTGGGCTCCTTACCAGTAATAGTATTGTAGTGGTAGGAGGCGTGTGTAAAAGCCTGCAGAAGGTAAGCCTTATTCTTGAATCTGTAGTTGATTTTCTTTTCAAAATTTTCAAACCCCGATATCAGGTGATTCAGTGTTTTATCTGCGTCTGGATGATCAAACATACATCTCGGTGGAATCTTCAGACAACCATATTCCAAGTCCTTAACCACAGGAGAGCATGAGCTGGCTACCGAGGCAGCAGCACGGCTCCCTGAAAGGGTCCTTTGTTGGCTGCTGGAATTCTCCCTCGGAGGGCACATGGCCTTTTCCCGATCAGTCCTTCTAATTACCGGGAGCACCTTCAGCCCCAGCGAGCAGAGGAAAAGCTGAGCAGCCCTCTCGCCACAGCTGGTTAAATAGCAGCCCAGCAGGGCTTCCACACAGTCGGCTATGCTTTTGTCAGCAATACACTGCTCGGTGTGCAAGTCATACGAAATGGACTGTTTCCCTGTGTCAACACCACAGTTCTCTTCTGATGGATTCCAGAACCCCACCACGAAGTCATCCTCCTCCACAGCTTTGCTAGGATCCAGGTAGCACATTGCATCCCAAGAGCTATAGTCAAAGTCCTCAAACTCGGACGAGAAGGGCATGCTGCCTAAGGGGGCCTTTTTGGGCATCTTCCACTCATATGCAGAATCAGTGGTTGAGAAAGGAGAGAGAGAGATTTTCTTCACGAAGGCTCCGGACCCCATGAGCATGTTGTCTATGAACTTGATGTGCTCCTGGTCGTACTCCAGGAAGTCGTCCTCGTAGTCGGGGTCCTCCTTGGGAGCCCTCCACAGCAGGTCCTCCTCCTCCTCCTCCTCCTCCTCCTCCTCAAAGTCGTCCTCCAGCTTGCCATTAGCCAACATGCAGTCTTTTGTCTGCAACCAGGGGGAATGGGGAAGGAGGGGAGACATAGCTGCTGTTTTTAAAAGGGTTTGAGACTCAATAAAAGCAAGGGTTATGGATAATTTCAAATGACAACCACAAATACTAAAAGGCAACTTTAAAATCATGGCCATTTGTTTTCAATTAACATAAAATAAGTTATTTAATCATATAAACAAAGTAAAACATGTTCTTTGAATGTTCATTTTCTAAGTTATAAAATGACCTTTATCCACTATGAAGCTTTAAGTAAAGGATTTTATACATGGGTATAAAGTTAAAATTAATGTCCACAAGGCAAAGCTTCAGCTAAGAATTCGAAATCTGGCAGGATACACAATGAGAGCTCTCATATGCCGATCACACGGATCTTCGGTTTTGCTGACAAAGTTTTAAAATATTTTCAAATCAATAAAATTAAATTCCAGATGTAGAAAAAGCATTATCTTTGCAATTAAGAATATCATATGAAACCAGATAAAAATTTTTAAATCTTTATAACAGTAAAAATGTAAACTAGAGTTTCATGTTAAAGTTTTTGTCCCTATTTCTACTTCAAATCAAAGTACATTTGCTGCCATGTAAAACTAAATTGTTTTGCTTGAAAGCTAAAAGTGATCACTGAACTAAGCTATGAATTTGAGAAATTATGCTTTACCCCGCCACTGGCTACAGTAATCAGGGTAACAGATTATAGCATAACTGACAAAAATAGAAGAAAATGTAGACGAACATGAAACACAACAATCCAATTTCTGTCGGAAGATCTTTTCTAATTCCAATTTCTTTGGCCAAAGCTTATTTGTGAATGACAACCTTAATAATGGACCAGGATTCAGTAGTGATGTAACTTTTTTGCAATGCTAGCAAGATGCCAAATTTCTGTTGCACAATAAAATCTAAAAAAAAAAAAAAACAACAAAAAACAAACCACCCAAAACAAGACTTTATACTTTGGAGGGAGAGGCAGAAGGGTGTGCTTCAATTTTGATAGTTGACAACTTTCCAGAGCATTCTGACAAAAAGGTTTTCAAACTTTCTGTCAAGCACTTTTTAAATACTGAAAATATTTTCATTTTAAGGCAGACTCAAAAGAGATACAGTATTTGTTGGAAAAGAAGAGCAGTGAGCCAAGCCATATAACTGTAACAATCTAACATTTTTTTTAAGGAAAAAAAAGTTTATAAAACTGTTTCAAGAATTAGAAAGAACACCAAAAGAAATTAGTGGTAGACCTCTTGGAACTATTTCCTGTTAAAACCCTTACACTTGCACGTGGTAACATGAGATGCTTTGACTATTGTTTGGCCCTTAAGAAAAAAAGGACCAAACTGCAATTAAAAAAAACTAGATTGAATACATTTTTTAATTAAAGAAAATTCCTTATATATCTTTAATAAGATGCTAACATCAGCTAAAACTGGCAGAGCGCAAAAAAAAAAACCAAAAAAAACCCCACACAGGATGGACTAGGTTTTATCACAAATAAGCTGTGTCATCTTGGGCAAAGTTCTTTAAGCCTCTGGGTTTCAGTTTCTTTATCTGCAAAATAGTGGGATTCTACTCACTAAATGGTTTCTAAGAGCATTTCAAGCTCTTAAAAAAAACCAAAACACAAAACCCTAGTATGAAGCTCTTTTCTTACAGTTCAAGTGAATATTAAACCTGAGTTCTTACCACCTTCAGTATTTGTATGCAAAGGTTTCACTTATACCCATCTGCTGAGCAGTAGGGAGGGTAGAACAGGAATGGGACAAACATGCTTTTCAATATCATGTAAGGGCCAATTTCAATTAGTTAAATTATTCAGTGAAAACACGAACAGTATTTTTAATGTATTCCAAGCACCAAGTGCCAAGTCATCTGAAATGTCAAGAAAAATAACTTTGTGTTGTATCTTTAAAAAAAAAAGTGTTTTGATCAAAAGGACAAACCAATGTCAACTTTATGCTAATTTTTAAGAGCCAATTATATTATGTAATATCATTTACAAGGCAGGAAAACTGTTACTGGAATGTTTTTTGTAGAAATGAAATATTTCCTCCAAAGTTCTCAAAATCTACACATTTTTCTCTAAGGTTCTACCTATTTCTGAATTAACATCAATGTAATTTTTTAAACTCACCTTATATTAAAATATTCTCTTAATGCTTTTTCACATTAAGTTTAATTTCTGTAATAAGTCAAATACTACATGACCTAACAATATACTCAATAAAGAGGTAACCATCAAAGTAGAGTTACAGAGAATAAGACCTATAAATACTTAAGACAGATACCTAGGATGTGTGTATCAGAAAGAACATGTATATTTAGAAAATATAACCTGTAAGAGGAACAGTATTCTCGTTGTTGGCCTGAAGTAAAAATGCAGTAACAATGAGCCGGTGTATCATTAATGCAAAAGAAATGTCAGAGAAATGCAACTGCCTGAGCTGAGCGTGCGCCTTTCCCTTTGGAAGAGGTGCTGGAGGTTCCAGGACTGACTGCTTTCCCAGCTTAGCTCCGAGGCCTCCGAGGTGCCCTCTGGTGGCCTTCACGACAAGACAACATGAAGCAGCTAACATTACTCTTCTTAAATCACTGGCAAGATTTAAACTATTTGCAGAAAACTACAACATTTATATACAGTGATTTATTATTATTTTTAGGTCACAAGAGGACAAACAATCCCGAGAAAACCCTGAGCTGCAAAAGCAAGATTTTATTGAAACTTCATTATTTCACAGGTGGACTGGAGATCATAGGTCATTGAAGTCATTTCATAAAACAGAGCTAAGGATCCATGAGAAATTAAAATATGTAACAGTAAAGTGAAATGTTATGGGGTTTGGCTTTTTTTTTTTTTGTCACAACATTAGATACTTTTCTATTTCTGGCAAAGGAAGATAATAGAAATTGTCCTCCATCAAAATTGTAACATTGTTTCTAAATTCAGTGCAAAAACAGTCTATTTAAGTTATTAATTTCATACATCAAATATCTATTATAAACATACCAGGGAAAAGAAACAAAAAATTAATAGAAAATTCTCCCCCTCATCAAAAAATAAATCCTTCCAGTCAACAAAAACTTACCATGTCATCTTTTTCCCATTTATCTGTGTTACTTTTGTCTTGATTTACTACATAACCAGGAGGAAGCCAATTCACAGGAGGATCAAATATTGACACCACCATGCGGCTGGGCAGTCCCTTTTTTTTTCCAAGCCGATACAGGTTACAGTTGCTGACCTTTGGCAGAAAAAAATTTATAAGACACTTACCACAAATGATTACTGCTGGAATTATACAAGGTATATTAACATATTTTTACCTAAGTGTTCTTCGTATTACTAACTGGTCATTGATTATAAAGACTGTATAGTTTTTCTACCTATTCGTGATAGAAAATATTAAATTCCCATGTATTCTATGTCCTTTAGTGTAATTAAATGAATATGTCTGAACATTAAATGCAGATCAGAAAAAAACGGATGTATATAAATATGCAAATTCCTTGTAAAGTCAGAAGAAACAATTCAGACAATTTCAACCTTTTGAAAGCACAATATGATAATATAAAGTGCAACTTGCTAGTTGGGACTATCAAAGACAAGAATCCATATAAAAAGTCCAAGATGTCACAATATTCTTAATGAAATAAGGGGGGGAAATGTCATAAACTTTAGCTATATGTGAAAAATGGCATGAAACAGAGTTAAAATCATTTTATATTCCTAGAACCTATGCCACAAATGTGACTTCAATAGTAATGTTTTCTCAAACATTATTCCTTTGTTTTGGTTGGTATTTCAAGTTATTTTTGTTCAACCATTTAAAAATAGAGCACAAGGCAATAAAGAACAACTCCATGTTTATTTGCATCAATAAAACTCTCTGGGTCTGTTTTTCCTAAGGCCTCCATCTCCTCTCTAATTTACTCAAATCACTGCATTTCCTTCTTGTTTTTACTTGGAAACTAGGTTCTAGGGCTGTCAATCTCATTTCATTTTCTAAAAATTGGGTTCCTTTATATTTCAGTACATGAGCCCCTCCTCCACGTAACTCTATACCACAGAAGCAGCACCCACCAAGGGAGGGGCTCGGTCAGGCATCCCTGAGAGAACAGTCAGCAAGACAGAGAAGTGGTCCGTCCCTGCAGAGAACTCAGCTGGGAGGGAAAGGGGTCTACACGACACTCACTACGTGGTAAAGGGCTTTCCCATGCTGCCCGAAACGTAACCACACAAATATTAAATGCTAGTTTCCTTTTGCGTACTATGAGAACACATTACAGATGCCAACAAGAGAATAAAGTGCAATAAGGACTCAAAAAGGATGGAAACCATATTCAAAGTCACAGAAATGGATGGCAGCATGGAAAAGGAAGGGAGAACTAAGGACTCGTGAGGCTCAATGTGGGACAGGCAGGAGGAGAAATGGGGCGAGCGCTCTGAGAAGGAGCACCAGCCATGTGCGCGGACTGGGGATGGAGAACAGCAGGGGTTCAAGCCCAGTTAGCTACAGATGCATCTGGGGTGTGAGTACCAAAAGACCTTCAACACCAGGCTGGGGGAGCGAGGATTTCTGTCCGAAACAGGAATCGTAGCTTTCTGAGCAGACAAGTGGATGAATTTTCAAAATATGAAGTTTTTCTCACCTAATAGAGTATATGGACTGTTACTTTCCACTCGTTCTTAGCCTCTGATACTGTCTTCCTGCAACCATCCCTGGGAGGTCAGCCATCAACGATCACTCGTATGAACACTACTCCCCCAAACCGAATCTGAGTCGTAAAGTCTCAGTTATCTGAACGTCTCACTGAACATCCCGCATTCATACTCCATGAGGTCTAAAAACCCAGCCCCCTAAGCTCGATTCCCACGTTTCCGTCTACCTGGCCACCAGCAGTCACTGCACCAGCCTCCCAGTTTATAGGGCTGTCATTACTGCATGACCAGGCTCCCTGCCTCCCGCCGACTGGGAGGCTGAGAGAAGACGGCGACGGGGACAGACTCGAGTCAGACGGTCCTGGCTATCCCGGAACTGCCGATGACCTTACATGAGCTAAATGAGCTCTAGGCAGTTTTCTCATCTGCAAAATGAGGACATGTCACCTATCTCTCAGGGCTCGTTGAGAAGATGGAGAGAGGTCTGTGAAATGCTGTGTCAGGCCTGGTGCCGACAGGGCAGGAACCTCAGAGGTAGGTCAGTGCGATGGGGACGAAAGAGCAAGGTCTCTTAAGCCAGACTGGGCTCTGCCGCCTACCAGCCATGTACCCTTGGGTAAGGTAAGCCCTCCTGCCTCAGGATCCTCATCTCTAACACTGGAATAGTGAAAAGAGTCGTGTCTGGCTAGAGTGAGCACTTCTAAGTGTGAGCTGAAATGGTTATTTCTTCTATCACACCCCACCCCTCCTTTCCTCCCCGCCGGTTGTAGCCTATTTTCTGCTTAAGCTTAGACTTCTTCAAAAGCCGACTGATTGCTCAGCTTGGTTTGGTTTTGCTCTTCAACTCAGGCTGCCTTCTGCTACCAGGCTGATCACTGAAAACTGCCACTTTATTACGACTGACCGTCCCTTTTGCCAGCAGTACCTTAACGCCCAGCAGCACCCTGCGTACTCCTCGGCCAGCACGAAGGCCTTCCGCAGCGCAGTGCCAGCCCACCTGCCTCCTAAGTCTTTCCTCGGCCGCTCCGCACTTCTGACAGCCGCCGCAGCCCGTTCACTGGGTGCTGACCGCTCATTTCGTGTACACTGTAAGCGCATGGCTTCCGCTAACGCCTTCCCTGATCACATGTGACGCTCGTTCAGCCTGCTTAGGGTAACGAGCAGCTTTGGACGTTATTTGTCAAGCGGGTATAGGTTGCCGTGTGACACCCTTTATCGTCATTGAAACATGTGACCTTCCTTACATTTCTCCTGTAAATCTCAATTCCACACTGAGTTTAGGAGCATGCCCTTCCTCTGGCCTATCAAGCACAGCTTGCTCGGGTCTCCAGGCCACTGTCCTTACACTGGAGAGCCACTGAGCTGGGGGAAGGCCTGCTCTTCCCGCCCCTGACTCCCGAAAACCTTGAAGATGGGCTCCTCCTGAGAGCCCCGTGTCATCTCCGTGTCTGCGTGCCTTGCATGCCAGGGCAGCACGCTCCCGAGTAAATGCCTAACTCATACATTGGGCATCAGCTCCTGGAATAACTAGGCTGTGTATTTTTTCACATCCTCCTTGGGAGCTAGAAGGTGCACACACGCTCACAAATAGTTTCCTCTGAACTGAATTTTTATCAATAAATAAGGTACATACAGATCAGCTGGCTCCCCAAACTGAGTGGTGCCTCAGTGAAAAACAGTCTCGTTATCAATGGGTGCGTACGCTGCGCACGGGCTTCAGCTGCACACGTCTGGTCTAGCGACCTCTGAGCCTGGTCCTTTCCTCAGCCTCTGAAACTATCAAACCCTTGAGACCACTTTTAGGCTCACTGAATAAGGACTCGAACTGCTCAAAAGAAAATAACTACTTCTTACCTTTTTGCTTCTCATATATGAAAGGCGGCCCTCATGAGCATCAGGATAAGTGCAAAATAGATACGTGGTGATGGCATGCTTTAAAAAGGAGTCACCAAGCATTTCAAGCCGCTCCAGGTTAAATCCATCGCTGGCATTGGAAAGGGTCAACGCCTGAAGAATCAGTCCAGGATTTGGGCCGAGAGTCCTCGAGGAATACCCAGTAGAAGGGCTCTGCTCAGGATCCATCCTGTCCTTGAGCGCCGTAACAGCTTCTGTAGTACCAGGCAAAGCGGCCCCCATGGGACTTCCATCTGAGGTAGATCTGTTAGCATTTCCATCAAGGTATTTATTACTCAGTAGAGTACATTCATCGCTGGGCTTGGGCTGGTTCTCATAATTGTATAAATTCTGGATGGGATATGAGGTAGTTGGTTGTACAGGTATTTCCTGCTTGTAGTAATTCAGCTGATTTCCTTGGCAAAAGTCTCTGTTAGCTAAATCGTAACTGCCATTGGCAAGGTTTCTATTGTAAGAAAGACCATTAATTGCTGTCAGATCTGTTGAAACTTCAATTGGGAGCTTCCCGGGTGATTCACTGAATAACGTTCTGCAGGTCACAGATATTTGGTCATGGTTTTCTCGAGAGGAGGTTCTAGTAGCACCTTGATGTGCAGCATTTTCAGGGACTACAATTGTGCTGTGCTTACAGTAATTATCATTTTCAGCTGAAAAGGAGTTAGCAACTGAGATGAAAGATTTGCTGTCAATAGATTTTTTCCATCCGAAGTCTAAGTTAGGGTATCTGCAAAAACATTTTTATAACTTTTCATCAGGTCCTGCAAAAGGGCTAGGTTTAGAGCAAGAGCAATTTGAGTACATAATATAAAGATTCCCATAAATACACTCCTACTTTAGAAGAAAAACAAGTTTCCAAAGCAGAAATTAACATTATTGGAAGTCTGCATGATGCAAACTGTGAAGTGGAGCGTGGCTCATGGCCCTGCTTCAGTCCCTCCCCGTAGTACAGTCTGGTGGCTGGGTCACGGAGCGGCGGGCAGCCTGTGGGACCCACCAGGCCCTCTGGTTAATTAGCTGGGTGCCTTCGGGCAGTTTACAGAACCTCTCTGTGCCTGCGCTTCCACACTTGGAAGAGGGGCTGATAACAATTCCTACTATGACATATATTTTAAAGTTCCTCAATCTCTAGAATCATCCCAGTCTTGCCAATTGAATAACCAAAATTAATTCGAGTGGTTAAACCATTAATTTCCTTAGAATGCAGAAACTACTCGTGGGAAGAAAATAATGAAGATGAAGAACATACTGAGGCAACTGCTTTGTAATACATATTGGATTTTGTAAGAGGAAGCAGTTTTAAAATGTCAGCACAGTAACAAGGGACTGTTTTCATTCTCACTGTCATCTCTGAGGGAGGGGTGATTATTTCTGACCTTAGTATCTCGTCTCCCTCTGTAACTTCACAAAAACATAGACCTCAATGACCCCAATATATAGATTTTCACTTAGGAATCAAAGGATGCATTTGTCTTCATGTATTAGACACGTTTTCTTTGTAATCTTTTAGAACTGTTTTATATAAAATTAAAAACTGCACTTCGTTCAGTTCTTTTCCAAATAGGATTTTGTGGCCTGTATTCTGTGTGGCCAATAACGCAGGCATACCTAAAATCCACAGGAAGGGCTCTGACTCCCACGCCAGCATCGCTGGCCGTCTGGGCTCTTAGCTCCTCCGCGGTCAAAAGGCAGTGAAGACGATAAAGTATGCTGGGGAGACAGACTGCTTTTCTCCACAGTGACGCTGGGATTGGGTGGATAGCACAGAGCTCTGGAACCAGTATCTTTGAATATGGAAAAATGTGGATAAACATAAAGCAAACACACAAAAGCATGGAAAACAAATTTAAGACCAATTTTACCAATGGATAAAGATAAAAATTGTAAGTACTAGCAAAATCTTATTTTTAAAAACATTTTAAAAAATAATCCTTTAAGACCAAGTGAGATTTATCCTAGGATTTATAAGGATGATTTCATGACATAATTATATCAATGGAACAAATATAAAAGCTAAACTGATGATTGCCAGATGGGAGGGGGTTGAAGGGCTGGGTGAAAAAGGTGAAGGGATTAAGAAATACAAATTGGCAGTTACAAAACAGTCACGGGATGTAAAGTACAGCACAGGGAATACAGTCAATATTGTACCAACTATGTATGTTGTCAGAGGGGCACTAGACTTGTCGGGGCAATTACTTCCTAAGTTATATAAATGTCTAACCACTATGCTATAGATCTGAAACTAATATAATATTGAACGTCAGCTGTAATTGGAAAACTAAATTTTTTTTTAATTTTTAAAAACAATCCTTGAAGGCCAAATGGGACTTTCCTTAGGATTTATAAGGGCGATTTCATGATGTAATTGTATCAATGAACCAAATATAAAAGCCAAACCTCTCATACTTACCCAAAAGACATCAAATAAAAGTCAACATACAATATTAGTTAAACCAAAACAAAACCCAAGGGTTGGGCAATTTCCAAAATACTCACAAGTCACTTAGTTCACCTGATAATATAAAATTCAAACCAACTTATCTTTACCAATACTAAGTTACACTAATATCCATGAACGCATTACCTGCTTGTTCTGCAGACTTTCCCATTTGGCTTTCCTCTTTTCAGCACTGCTTAAAGGAAGAGCTTTCCCCTTCTGATTCAAATGGCGAGGGGTCAAAAGGTTCAGTCTACAAAAATTTCAAAATAATTGTATCAAACGGACAGAAACAAGTACACTCTCGCAGTGCTTCTCCCAACTTCAGCGTGTGCGCAAACCACCTGAAGAGCTCACTTAACTGCATAGCCCTGGGCCACACCCCGGGCAATTCTGTGTGCAAAGGGTCTCCTGATTTCCCAGAGTCTACAGGTGGGCAGTGGAGACAGTGACCCTCTATGTGTGCCTACTGACCTCTGGAAAAATGCCTCAATTAACACTTTAACACCTTACCTTGAAGATGTGTGGTCCACATCCAGCAGCGGCTGGTTGAGATTGGTCAGGTCAAGGTTATACTTCGTTTTATAATATTCTGCAAAAGTTTCATACTCAGGGGATGGAAATTTACTCAGTGGGGTAAGATCAGTGTACACATCAGCTACATAAAATCTATGAGGCTGATCGAAATTTCGATACCTAAAAAAAGAAAATTAATGAGTGACTTTTTGGTTTAAATCAACTATTCTCAAAACACAACTGTTCTTAACATGGATATGCAAATTTTGATTTTAAAGAGTTCAAAAGATTAAAAATAAATAACGTTAATGAAAACTTCAATTCCTAATAATATATTCAAGTGGATTTGAGGCAAGAACTATATATTTGTATCAAGTAAAAACTGACTGACTTGCCACTCTGCCCTGCTTTACTATTATTTTTCCCCTAAACATCTATACATTGATAACAACACACTGAAAGCTAAACGGCACCTTTGAGAATCTCTTAATTTTGTCAATATAAACAGTATGGAAAACTCCCAATATCCAAACTGAGTAAACACTTGTACATTACCAATGCTAAACATGACAGACACTTGCCACATGAAAAGTTTTAACTGCATCACTGATGATACTGATATCAGATGAGAGCTAACATTTAAAATATGGCTTTGAGGTGCAAAAAGAAAAAAACAATCAGAGAAAAACTGTATACAGCCAGTACTCTGAAAAGTGCCTTTATTGAATTTTATTGCTAAAAATCTCCATCCCCTAAATTTTTACAAAATAAGAAGAAAAGCATTCTGATTTACTATTTTCTTTGTAATTATAACATTATTCCTAGTAAAAAAATTTAAGAAAGGAAATATTCATGATCAAATTCTAGAAGACTTTGGGGATTATAAGGATGGAGATTTTAAGAAGAAAGCCTGTTAACACCACTCAGATCATCTGACCTTCAGAAAGTAAAGTCTCTTCACTGACAGTGTTTAGGTTTGGGTTTTTAAGAAAGGAAATGGGGGGGCCGGCCAAGTGGCTCAGTTGGTTAAGAGTTAGCTTAAGAGCATGAGCTCTGAGCAACAAGGCCGCCAGTTCAATTCCCACATGGGTCAGTGATGCTGTGCCCGAGCTGAGCTGTGTCGCTGAGCTGCCAACAGGTGGCAGGATGGTTCAGCTGGTGAGAGCATGTGCTCCTAACAACAAGACTGCCTGTACAATGGTGGTCTACGCCCGCCCACAACTAAGACTGAACTCAGCACCTTGAGCTGAGCTGCTGCCCGGATGTTCAGTGGCCAGAGCACATGCTCTTAACAACAAGACTGCTGGTTCGACTCCCACATGGGATGGTGGCTATGCCCACCCACAACTAAAATTGTAACACAGCACCTTGAGCTTAGAGGCCACGAGCCGCCGACGGGCAGCTACATGGTGACTGGTGCCCTCCACAACGGAGACGGAAGAACAACAACCTGGCTGGTCCCCCTCCCCAAGTCCCCAACACTGTTTCCCTCCCCCAATTCCCCAATTAAAAAAAAAAAAAAAATAGAATGGAAACGGGAAGAGAACAGGTCCACCATGAGGGAAACTGAAATTTTCTAGTAGTAACCTCGATGCCAAATCACATCCACTTGCATCCCCCTGTGAAGCGTGAAATCTTCTGAAACCCAGTATCATCACCACTTTGCTTTCCACTTCAATACCTACCTTGGAATGATAACTGCATCCTGGTAATCTTCCAATTGAAAAACAAAGGGTGTTTCTTTTGAATACTTTGTACTGGGAATGCCTATGCGAGCTTCAGATTTTTCAATGTCTTCCATGAATTTAAAGTCAATGTCCAAAGTGCTGGAGTCATTAACTTAGGGAAGAAAAAGACTCTTTAGCTTGTTAAAATACAGTAATGCTGGTAAGATTCTTACTTAAGCTCTACATTCCTCTATGTGTCTAATTTAGTTATCAAAGGGAGAGATATCTGTGGTATACACAATAAGCTAGTTGTCAAGCAAAACTTCCATTTTTTAGCTAGTGTAAGTGAACGTTTACGGGTTCGGGTCCTTCTTACCAACATTCAGAGGTAGAACACAGTATGCTGAGTCAGCGTCTGTGGGTTTAAATTCTAGTGCAGGTTTTTCAAGGCGAAGAATATGTGAGAATATATACTGGTGAAGTCTTGTAATCAACTCGAGCATTTGCAGAGACAATGTGAAGCCAGACTTCTTCAGCTCAATAGAGATGGTAACCTCTCCCGAGCGCGTGTACACAGGGAAGTGCGGGATCTTAGCAAAGAGAACATGAAGCACCCCAGGTTAACAGGTTTTTTCTTTCTTTATAAATATTTAAGTTCAAAAGAGGAATGATTCTATCAGGGACTTAAAGACACCTCAAATTTTAAATATGAAACACACTGAGGTGACAAAAGGCAGTTACTCTTAAGTAGTCTTTCCTTTTTAAAAACACAATGTGTTTTTACCATAAATCCTCATTATGAGGTGTCTTACCTGAGGTATGGGTTTGGCTGTCAGTATTCCAAAGCATCTCGTGGTATCCTCAGGGGGATAAAGTTTCCGCCTTCTGAAGTTCAGTTCATCAGGTAACGGTGTCGTTAGAACCATTCCTATCACATACAGGTAACAGGGCTGATCAGGTTTGGGATAGCTATCCCTCAGACATTCTGGAATCTGGAATTGGAAAGAAAAATTAGCATCAACCTCAAGTATAATAGCCTCTTTTCCAGATGTTGGCAAGAAAACAAATTTATTCCTGGCTTTACTAAAACCTAATGAGGAAAAGCTAAGAAAATAACGACCTCCTAATTCCTCAGCAAGCATTTCTCAGGTCTGGGATGCAAGGTGGCCCAAGCTCACCCACCTTATGATGCACTGTTGATTATACAGCTAACACCAAAATTATACAAAACACTGCAGGGTCTTTTAAAAAAAAATACTACTCATTTGATCTTTTTTTTTGACTAGACAACTCTTTTCTTCCTTGAGTCTTTACTCACTATAGAATATGAGAAAATAAAGGTCGTCAAATTTTTTTAAATTCCACATAATAGTATCAAAGATAACATTTATTCCATTTTGATATACTGTATCACCTTTTAGACTTTTTCCTAAGTATAAATGTATATAAACATATACACATACATATTATTCATTCCAAATGGAATCACACAACAAAGACTGTGTCATATCCTGATTTTTATCTCCAACTACTACAATAAGAATATCTTTCAGGGTCAATATGAAATCAGTTATCATAAACCGTAATTTAATTAATCTGAGACTGTTTCTAAACTTTCAATATATTGAGTTGTTGGAAAAGTCATGACGCATTTTTGCAACGAAAAACATAGAAAAAAAACACGTCATGAATTTTCTAACAACCCAATACATACAATCCCACCCAATAGTCTTCAGTTTCTGAGGCTCAATGACATAAATGATTGCATCTGTAGTTAAATGGCAGAGAAATGCTTGGTAAGAGGTGATTATAATTGATAGATAACCTTAATTAGGTACAGAATGTATCTATTAATTAAACAGGATGCAAGGCACTACTACCCTTCTCAAACACTTTTAAGTGGCAACGTTTGTCATATGAAACTAGCCTAGCTTTGAGATAAATGTCAGAGCAGGAAAACTAGATATGAGGGAAAGAAGCACTTCAGGAAAATGGGTAACATTCATGATTTTTGAATAACTGACATGACTGAATCTTGAAAATGTTTAGCCTATGTGCAAAGGTTTCACACGCAAAAATGCAACAAAACTTCAAAAACAAAAGGAGTACACGTTTAGGCTAAGATGAACGTACACAGCAAAATTTTGTTTTTGTTGGGGTTCTGATGAGGTAAAAACATTAACAAATATTTTTAAATTAAGTACGTCACCCTGGGATGGCTATAACTAGAAGTCAGACTCAGGGATGTTTTAGTGCATAAATCCTGCTAGCATGCCACAGACCAAGCTCAACACAACACATGGAAATAACTGATTTTGACTCCTAGTAGGCCACATCCTAACTCCTGACAAATACCTGTACTTATACCTGCCAGTGTCCACCCCATCTTGAACGGACATCTTTTCACTTGGCTATTTTATCATACAAATCCTCTTTTGTCTTAGCCCCAAACAGAAGTAAAGCAAGAATCTTTACCACTACAGTGAATGAAACCAATGTCTCTTTAAATGAAATAAACTCATTCCGGATAGACTCGGACAGATGACTCCTCCTGAGAAGAAAAGGAATGCAGAGCCTGCAGTGGGGAGGAGCACACAGTGTGCACATGAAGCGAAGGGGCTGATCTAAGCTGTGAACAGGAGAAATGAACCGAGGCCACAGACTGGGCCCCATCACGGGGGTCTAGGAAGCCAAGCAGAGGAATCCAGGTCTGATGCAGCAGGAACTAAAACGCCAGAAAGGCGTGCGTTCTCTTCAGGTCTACCCAATACTAACTGCTTTGGGGTAGCACTGCCTTCGTTTTGTGGAGCCCGGTCTGCCTGGCACACTGGTCTCTTCTTCGTCATGTAAGTCAAGCTCTTCTTCATATTTCACGGTTTCTTTCCCGACTGGCATCAAATGGTCATCCAGTTCACCTAAGAAATTCACAAAAACAATCCAAATTTTGTCTCTCTGATGATTAATTAATAAATAATACACAATAGCATTGTTAGGAAGCAAACTGACGAGAAACGACAACTAAAGCATCTTTACTTTCAATAATAATAAGTAATCAGATGTGACACTTAAGGCAAAGTCTATTGGTATTCATATTTCAATGTGAGCGAGATGATAAACTCCGTTCTAAGTTTCAAAAGTTAAAACATCTAACCAGGAAAACAGCACATATCATCACCTCACAAAAAACATGGAAGACAGGTCTTCCCATTTTTAGAAAAATGGATTCTTATGTACTAATACGGATTAATTTGAGAGACTGATACATTAAAACACACTCATGGTTCACAGTACGAGAGAAAACCTTTACGTATTTAAAAGGGGTCAGTAAAGAAAGTGAAAAATGACATTTGTTTGCAGTCCAGCTATGGAAAACCAATAGCCCACATCCACGCAGGGATTTCAGTTACATCACACTCACGCCCAAGCACCAGAGCACAGCAACGCCAAGTTCACAGCGGCGCAAAACCCGCAGCGACCTCTGTCCTCAACATGCTTGTTTTACAGTCTTTTTGACGTTATTTTTATTTGCATGTGCTTTTCAAACACTTACCAATTTTGTGCAGTTTTTCACAGCAAATAAGAGCTACAACTCTTTCAGCCAGTCGTATACAGCTCATTGGTGGACCCTGAAAGTAACAAAAAACACTTCCATTGTATATACACCGAGCTATATTAACATTAACACCTAACACAGCTATGAAACCTCTGCCCCAAGACCTTTCAAGTTAAAATTTACCAGAGCAAAGTTCTTTATTTTGAAAAATGTCAGCAAATTAAAAAAGAAGTCCGAATGTCCATATTTGAAAAAGCCATCTTTAAAAATTCCTGCCCAGTAACAACTAAATCAATTACAACCAAGATTTGATGATTTTGGTTAATTTAAATTTTAGTAAGGTTTTAGTAAGGTATCTTATTTTCACTAATCTACAAATATGTAACCAAAAATATAAAGCTATATCAGGATGTGACTAGAACATATACATTAACAGTACTGCAACTTGCCACGTGCAACAGAAATTAGTCATCTTAGAATGTCTGGAGATCGGCATTGGGACCAAGGGCAGCAGTTACACAACAGCAGATTTTCGAGTCGACAACAAAATAACTAGAACAGCCCAACATTACTTAATGATTTCGGTGTCACCATCCGTATCTAGGCCACAGCTGAATGATTCTGCCAGAAATGTTTATATTAATAAGATCTAGAGGAAGCGTCAAAGGCCATCGATTCCAATTCTAAGCATCTGTAAGTTGTACAGTCTATTGAAGATTTGAACATGTAGTTGACTACAAGAGATTTATAAGTCTACTTTTTAAAGTAGATTGTAAGCCAAATTTACCTATAAGTTGGCAAAGGCTTAGAGAACCTGAAAAAAAAACACCTCATTAATGACATATATTAAAGGCACAATCATTTCTTTTTCTAAACTTACAACAATGGAGGCTCGAAGAGGTGAGTTAATTGGCAGATAAAGAGTTGAATAAAATGTACCATCAGGCAACTCTCGGGTTCTACATTTAGGAGCTAGATGAGTAAACGGATCACTTGGTAATCTAGCACAGTATCTGTGAAGAAAAAGAAATTCTGATGCTGAATCTACAACTGAGAAATAGATGAAAAAAATTTATACTGATAGTCACATCCCAAAGTTTGATTTCTTATGTCCCTCTTCTCCTCTACTGGTTCGGTATTTATATGTGCAGTTTGAGCTTCATTGCTTCAAACTTTTAGTAAGTTGGAACAGTGTTGTCTGTTAGAACTTTCTGTGATGGTCTGTATGCCCAACAGGGCAGCCACAAAGCACCTGAAATGTGGCGAGGGCAGCTAGGGAAACTTTTCATTTTATTTCTTTTTAACTCAAATTGACATTTGGATTTAAATAGCCTCATGTCTAGTTGCTACCATACTGGACAGTGCAGGACATACTGTTCCTAACCCGTTAAGAGAACACACGGCCAGTGTTTGCTCCTTAATAATCTTACCCGTGCCACCACTGGGGCCTGCAAGGAGGGCATCAGAAGAGGGTGGAAGGACAGCCCTGGGCTGACACAAAGGAGGGCGTGAGAACAAGACCACCCCTGCAGTGCACAAGGAGCATGTCGCAGCAGGGCAGGAAGCTCGTGTGCAGGGAGCCAAGCCCGAGTACAGAGGCTGCTGGGACACGAAGGCAACCCAGAGGGGCCAGGACCCACGCAAGGAGGGCACTGGAATGGAAGCAAACATGATGCCAGCCCTGCAGAGTAGGAGACTGGCGATATTCAGGGAGGCTGAACATGAAAGTGGGTATCTGGAAGACAGTGGGAATCGTATTTCTCACTATTGAAGAAGTCAGGAACAAAGAAGGGAAAAGAGGAAAGCTAGAATGAACCCCCTAGTGTCATACTAAAAATGGAGGTGACAGCAGACAGGTAAGTCAGATACAGAAATACATGCAGATATAAATGTGTATGTGAATATGCATGAATATATTTTCTGGCTCTGTCTACTAAAGAGCCCAGTGGCAGCCACACTCCAGTGGCAATGACACACCCGGTATTCAGATCTTGGTTTTTAAACACCATTCATTCTCCACTGAAAGAAACCAGGGGCTTTCAGAGAAAAAGCCAGTATCTAGGCTGGAGCAGGGAAAATGTGAGTTGAGTCTACAACGTCTTGGTATGCCATAAAACAAGGAAGTGTTCAAAGAATCATGGTGACATTTTAAAAAGTCATGGCAGCAGCTTGAAGGGGCTCCCAACTGGCCAAATCTGAGATAATTTTAACATCAAAATAAATAAGCAATGATAGTAACAGATTATAATCCACTCAATAAAACCGGAGTCCATTAGTTCATATTGAATGAAAAAATAAATGAAAAAAAAAAAAAAAAGAAAGCTCTTCCTTATAGAATTCCAACTAATAAATGCAGAAAGAAAAATGGAATTAGAAAATCACCATTCTGCAGAAATCACAGTAACAATCAATTCAGGCAAGAAATACCAACAGATACTGAAAGTAATGGGTAAAACTAGAGAGAACTTTATATAGTCTCAAGTATCTCCTTTATTCACTAATTGTAAAGCAGGGGAAGGTAACTGTATAGTAGAGAAAGCAGGCAGACCTTCTGTAAGTGATCAAAGTCACCACCATCAGCAAGAGCACAAAACCGACATCAAGTGCGCCTGATAAAATGAAACGGGAACAGAGCATCACTTCTGTGAGATGCTGGCCAAACATGCAAAACCTGGGTCTAATCATGACAAATATCTGATAAACCCAAACTGAGAGACAGACTACAAAATCACTGGCCTGTAATCTTCTAAAAGCTTCAAGGTCATTAAAGTCACAGGAAGACTGAAGAATGGTTCCAGGCTGACGGGGACTAGAGATGATGAGAAAATGGATACAACCATGATCCTGGACTGGATTCTCTCACTACAAAAGAACATTCTCATGAAACCTGAATGGGTCTCTCTGGGTGAAGTGTATATGGAAGTTCTTTGTAGTAATCTTGCAAAATTTTAAACTTTGAAATTGTTTCAAAATAAAAAGTTAAAAAGAAAATCTCATGCTTGTTGCTCCTTTATTTTGCCTCTGCATGAAATTTATCTTGATATAGACATAACCTAGGTATGTATCTGCTTTTCTTAGTTCTTAGAAATGTTATTACCAACTCAGGACAAAACAAATTAGAGTATACTCAAAAATATAAGTTAATTTATCATAATCTGAAATCACTGCTGATGGAAAATTCAACATTCCCAATATTCATGGCATAAAACAAATCTCAGAATTCAGAAAAATATTAGTGAGATTTGTAAAATTAAATTAAACCTAATTAAAATAAACACACCTTCATAACATCAGCCTTGCCAATGAACACTACACATTTATTACTGCACAATACTGGTTTTGACTTTTGACCAAAAAAGAGAATAGAAAAGAGCAACATCTTTTCTTTCTCACATCAAAATAATATAGGCCATAAACGGAAAGATTGGTGATTGTTTGCAAAAGGTAAACAACAATACCATACTTACAGGTTTATATTTAAATCTTGCAATCATCATAGGTTTTCCATGCAAATGAGTTCATCCCATACCTATTGATGTGTCCGATGGCCGTGTTGATTGTGACTCGTGGACCACCATCATCGGGCCTCAACACGTACGGTGGGAAAATGTCATCATCGTCCACAACAGGCTCAACGTCAGTCTCACCAGTATCAACTGATTTGGAACATTTGTTTCTCAAGATCTGAACATTTTACAAGAATTTACAATGAGAACAAATGACTTCTTGGCCATCCATTGGTTGTCTACCTCTGTGCCTACAGAAAAGGCTCCCCGGACATGGAACCTTTCTCCTAACACAGCTCAATACTCAGTCATCTGCTCCAGAACCTTCCTCCCAGCACCAATCATGTGGAGACACTCGTCATACAGCTGGAAGGTTTACACTATACTGTCCCTACACACACACACACACACACACACACACACACACACACACACAGAGTGCCAGTCTTTCACGAGTATAGGAGCTATGCCATCACTCTCAAATCCCTCCACAACACAGTCAACTTGTTACTGCGCTGCCCACATCAACTATACGCTTTCCAGGCATTCTTCCCCAGTGATCTATCCAGCCATTTGCATTATTTTATGGTGAGCTTTCACTTTGTGAAATGCTGCTGGCTCTTTGTAATTGAACATGCTCGACTTTCTTATAGTGTATACATTGCACACCCCTATTGAGACCACTCTCTGTACACAGAACTGTTTTGCTCTATTTCTATGCACATAAAAAAATAACTTAAAAAGATACCGTATTAATTTTTGGATCTTACCTTTTCGATAGCTTTGTATGTTTTAAGGTCTTCTTCAAAACTTTTTATTTTGTCTGTATCTGCTAACATTATATAGTTAGAGATCGGTGCCCTTGCTCTGCCCTTAGATTGAACGTAAGATCGATACTCTGTGGGCAAATCAAAGCGAACCACCAAGTTGCACTTTGGAATATCAACACCTTCTTCCACAATACTTGTTGCAATAAGCAGGTTGGTCTCATGTGCTCGAAATTTCCTCAGTACCTGAAAGAAATCCACCAGACAAGAAAAGCAATCCTAAGAAATTTTCCAAAGACAACAATGTAGTAAAAATAAGTGACAACTGTCATTTCCAACACATACTCAGGGCATGCAAAGTCTTTAGGGCCAGGCTAAAGAAGGTGACATCAAACAAAATTCAAGACGCATGAAACTCTGAGTTAATGACAATTTTCAACTGCATGTGACTTGAGAAATCAAAGTGCCTTTCAATTTTACAGAAGTGCCTGTGTACAAATCACAGAAAGTCGTCAGGTTGAAGGGGCTGGCTTCTATAAGGACCACAAAAGAATCTAACTATAACCTTGTGTTGTGCAAAGGTCAACTGTGCCTGGAGCAGGGCCTGGCAGGTGAAAGTCACTTAACCATGTGAGGAAGTCAGGACTACAGGCATCTAGATGCAACGCAGAGGAATGGCTTGAAAGTTGAGTGAACAATCAAGTAAACATGTTTAACGGAAGTAATGACTCCACAGTTAATGAAGGTTAACTAGGGAAGAGAAATGAAGGGGGCTGAAGCACCTAACATGGAATTTGTTACGGTATTTAAACATCAACAAGAAAGAGCTAGTGTAAGTTCCTGAGCAGGTATTCTTTTTCAATCACCTCTTTTACAGGTCCTTAACCATAAAGTATAAGCCTGTATGAAGAACTGTTTCTTGAGGATCCTTAAAAAATTTAAATGATGAAATTATGTATCTAGTCCTTATTTCATTAATTCCACATTTACTGAATGAATAAATTATTTAATTAATTGATTCCAATTAAAAAAAATCTAACTCAACCAAGTGATCGGATGAATCCACTTGTGCAGTCCTGCTGACATGCTGACCCCCCCCCCATCATGGTATCTTCTGTGTGTGAGATGAGCCAACATCCCTCCAAAGATGTCAAAATTCTTTCACTAAAATAAAATCCCCTAAAACACTTTGAATTAAAAATTACAAGCAAGGCATTACTTATTTTTTGGAATCTTGGGAATTTTCAGTTTAAAAAAATCAGAACTAATTAAAAAATAAAGTGACAACTTTTTCATACTAGATTAAAATCACATTGTTTCCCAATCCAGGTTAAGTTAAATAATAAAGTAAGCTGGGTTTTAGAGAGAGCAATCAGACTGACTATTGGACTCCCCAAACTTGGAATATTATAAAAAAGCTATGATGTAGAAAATGACATCTATGTGAACTATTCTACTAGTTTTAAGTTTAAATACCGAACTTTAAATAAAAAGTTTTTGTGAGCCAAAACACTATAATAGGCTTTTGTATCTTTACAATGCTGTTTCTCATATTAAAAATCTTAAAAAGCAAGAAAAAAATTAAGGCAAAATCTTTATGAAAAACAAAATACTTTCTAGGAAAAACTTTCAGTTAGTTGCTTCAGAGTCCTATGGAGTCCACGGGAGTTATGGTTACACATGCTGTTTTCCTAGGAAATGTAACTGTGTGCCATCAGTCCAACAAAAGAAAATGTAATGGCTGATAGCAGTTAAGACACAAAATTGACTCGATAGCTATTCTAATTCTGAAATCACGAATCACTATTCAGCTACCTCAGAGGACACAGCTACTCTAATTATGAACAACTATTCTATGTTACCAGAAACTGCTGAGGAACTAGGAAGAAAAGGGAGTTCCTATGGGAAGAGTTTGTCTGCTTTGTTCTGAAAATGGTCCCGGTACCATTATTTTAACGTAAGTTACCTCCTCCTGTTTTCTGAACTCTGCTTCCATCTGCTTGTTACGAGGCTGGTTCTTTCCGATGCCGTGTCCAGTTATGAAATTGCTGCTGATGTAAGCCAGCTCTGGATCTTGTTTGCCCGCTTCCTTTATCAATCTAAGGAAATTATATACGTTTGGAAGTTAAGCATTGCTGAGGGAAAATAAATGTAAACCTTTGTTTGTAAGGTCTCCCTGACAATGGAAAAACTCGTATTTTTTACCAACATACCTAACAAAATGGTCTTGGTGTTTTTTTTTTTCAACTGGCTTAAGCAGAAATCACTGCCACTCTTCACTGAGCAGGTATGTGGACCAAGTACTTATAACACTAAATACAGGGTTTATTTATACTGATGAATGAAATAGTCACAGCACTTCAAACTTGCTAATTTGACAGCGATGACTTAACAGAAATGTGGCCCAGCAGGGGACAAAGCTAGGCAGAGAGAAACACGGATTCCTCGTACATCTTGGCGTCAGGCCACACACACTTCTCTAAAAGCTCCATGCCTTCTAGAAACGCGCGCGCACCTCATGGCAGCAGTCCATCTTGTCTCTGTGGCCATGCTTCCACAGAAGTACCAGACGCCCTGACACCAAAGGGAGAATTTCTACAGCACAAGAAAACCTCATTCTGCCTCTACATGTAAAAAGCAAGTTCCAGCTGTGCGTGAAAAGGGGCATGGTTAGTTCTTCCTGTCTTACCCTGACACCTTATCACCCTATCAATAAGCTGGAAGCGGAGCTCTACACAAAGAAATGACTGCATCTACTGATGACCATCTTCATGCCCAACACTTTCCTGTCCCCAGGCACTAGCCACAGTTCTGCGTAACAGAACACTAGACTTCAGCACAGGGATGCCCGAGGCCCCATCCCACCCCGGGAGGAAAGGGAAAGACTGCAGCTCGACCCTCTCTCTTCCTGCCTGCTCCTCTCTGCATCAACCAGGGCCGCCGCCGTAACCTAACGCTGGCCTTCTAGCTCTGAAATGGAAAAGGGCTACGGATGAGATCACATTACACGGGGACAGAAGGTTAACAGTTAGTGTTGCCATTACAGCTATTTTGGAAATATCCACATTCAAAAACTCAGCACACAGGATAAATGGTTCCACACCTGACGTAAGTGATTCCATATGGTTCTTCTGAAGTCATACAACATAGTATAAATTCCTAATAGAAAATTGCATTTTTAAGTCGAACCATTCTTTCGCCACCCCACTCCTAAATACATGAAACAGACTAATATCAAAGAGCTGGAAGAAACCTTGAGTGGCCATCTAAAATATCTTCCTGCCTCCAGCCCGGCAAAACCCTGGCATGTCCAGGTTAATCTGAGAGCCTGTCTACAATTCCAGTACTTAAAATGCTCAGAATCAGAAACTTCCTCAATATGTTCCAAGCTTTGTTTAGTTATTATAATAAACTTATGTCAGTAACAGAAAGCTCTATTACATGCAAACAAATAGCATGCCCCCAAACCTAAAATATGAAATTCTTAGAATATGTACTTCTAAAATTTAGTTTATGTAAATAAGCATCAATTTGAATGCCAACAGAGGTAACAAAAATGCATTTCAAGTTACTCTTAATTAGGCAAACAATGTATTTTACTTTGCCAAAATGATCTGGTAGACGTTTCAATTAGATGAGAAATGGAAGAAGCACTAAGAGTACATTTATTTCTCCTTAATGAAACTCACATCAATACTGCACAGAACAGAAGAAACATCATGCACATTAATAAACAGTCTCTTATGAGCAATAATTAAACGCTGTATACCTAGACTGATAACGTTTAGAGAGGAAAAGCTTATTTCTCTATCGGATAAATTGAAGGAACGCCCACGCCAATGCAAACAAAGCAGCAGGCTTCTGGAGAAACGAACCAGGTATGCTGTTGCCAGGCTGGTGGGTTTCGTGGTACCACACAGCTGGTAAGACAGCCTCCCTCATCTGTCTCCTTCGCCTCTTCACTGAGTGTATGTGAGTTGTTCCTCAAGCAAGCTGTCTGATAAAATTGTGCTGTTGTTCTCTAGTGCCCAGAGCTTCTGAAACTATCTGCAGCTAAGAACTGTTTGTTTTTCTAATTTCAAATCCATCAGAGATCAATATTCTTGTAAAATTCCAAGAAAATTAACTACTAACAAAATGAAACTTAGAAAGCATTATTGTTGTATTATATGCAGCAGACATAACTTACAGTCAAAACTAAGAGTTTCTGGATGCTTACCCTCAATCTCTGTACCTAACTTACCACAGCAGGCACTGCCCCACAGATCACAGTGTGTGTAAATGCACACTGCCTCCCCAATTACTGAAAATAGCATGGCCAAAACCAGGAAACGTGTATGCTAGATTCCAAAAACCAGTAGATGTACTATTGAAAACTGTGATTTGACAAAACGTGGTAATTTACACAGACTACCATAAGGGGGAAAAAATTCAAAGATACAAACATGTATCATTTGATTTGTCTGCCAGGTACTGACATATGTCATCAACAAGACCTTTAACAGCAACGCTTTTTCCTTATATTTTCTTATCAATGTGAGAAAATCAAATATAATTCCTTTATGATCCTACCAAAAAAACTATCAGATAGTTATAACATGCTGATACTTTATTCCCCAAATGTATGCATCAAGAACATGAGAAATTAGCACCTACTGTGTGTTAGGTGATAAAAGAGCCATTTTTATATTGTCGCTTATTAATAACCCAATAGGACAGGGAGCTATTATTCTATTTTACAGATGGGGAGGATGCTGAAGCTTTAAAAAGTTCAGTAACTGTCACGAAATATACATCTAAAAAGTGGGTAGAAATACAAGGAACAAGGGCTCCCTGGAGAAACGGCTGGTTTTACAGCTACAGCAAGGAAAACACAAGAGTGTGGAGCATCTTGGAGTGGCGGGTAGGAAATGCTCCCAAACAAAAGGACGAGGGCACATCAAAGGGACACAGGAGCCAACTGAGAGCTCCCAATAGCCCCGGCGGCGGAGCAACCTGAGCAACAAAACAACGCAGCATTAGATTACAACCCAAAGCACAGAACAAACAAAAATGAGTCCATACTGATAAAAGAACATGATTCAATAAATATAAATACATAGGTAAACGGGATAAAAGGGACATGTTTTCCTTACAGAAGAATTTTAATAATAGATGTACATTAATCCCTCCCAGGATAAACTAGACTTCGTGACTTGCTTCCAAAGACTAAAGTAAGAAAAGGGCAAAATAATAATTTTACAGGGAAAAAACCTGGCAAACACTATCATGACCATGTGATAACGTTTAACATCACCAGTGATATTTCATGTTGGTATCACAACCCCCTGAAAGGATGTGATGAGGACACTTCATCTCTGTGGTAATCTTCCAAATCCTAAAACCCCAGGCTAATTCTGAGAAAAGCATCACATGGATTCAAACTGAGAGGCGTTCTACAAAATACCTGCCTAGGACTCCTCATGACTGTCAAGGTCATCAAAAACAGGGAAAGTCTGAGGAACTGTCACAGACCAGAGGAGCCTAGGGAGACATGACGGCTAAATGCAATATGGTACCTTGGATTAAAAAGAGGATATTAACGGGAAAACTGGCGAAATTTAAATAAAGTCTGGAGTTTAGTTAATAGTAATACACCAATGTTAGTTTCTTGGTTGTGACAAATGTCCCATGATAACATAAGATGCTAATAATATAGGAGATGGGGGAAACCAGGTGAGGGGTACAGGGGAACTCTGTAATCTATTTTCAACTTTGCTGTAAACAAAAAAGGTTATTAGGAAAATGGGGGGTGGGGGGTAAGAGAGAGGATATGAACCCAGGTTTGTCCGTCACCAATGTCACATAATACTTAGTAAATTACAAAGTGAAAAGAACACTGGACTTGGAGAGTGGAAGCTATTTTCTGCCAATGGATTATCAGTGTTACATTGGGAGGGGCACAAACTGAATCTCAGTTTCCTGGTCTATAATACAGTAAAAATTCCTACCTTCACCCCTCATGGAGTGTTATAAAACCCTATATATAAGGCAAATGGAAAACTATAAACCTAGGACTGTACACATGCCTACATTGAATATGGAAGTAGCTGTGATTTATTTTTTTAATTAGGAGAGGAGAAAACTGCCCGTGTATTACAATAGCTTATACTCCCATGAAACTGTTCACTGAAAAAGGGTTTTTCCTCCCATTAAATTGATGGAAGGAAAGAATCTGGATTTCAGGAAGTTTTTCTAAGCTTATTAAATAGCTTACTGGAACAAGACCTCTATTGTATATTTAATTAGCTACTCATAAAGTCAACCCTCAAACCGCTCTTGCTTCATCATCCAACACTAAATTCCAGCCACATTTTATGAAAGGTGATCACAATGAATCTGATCCTTAAAGTCAACAGGGAGTACCTGGTTGATTTCTGATAAGCCTTTTCAGGCTAATACTTCTGCAATGAAAACTGGCACACCTAAAAACATGCAGAGAAGAGCAGCAAGGAAGACAATCAACCCCCATTTCTTCTCTCCAAGCCCCAGAAAATTTATTTCCTTCTTAAGCCATCCCGTTATGGGGGCAGGGAGTATGTCTGTAACTAGGCTTAGAGCTGCCAATATGAAACTCTCCTGACCACTGCGATGCCTTTTCCCCCTTCTGAGAAGGAATCCCAGCAGTCGCGCTCTCCTGGGTCTGTCTGCTGGCAGTCTTCCCACTATAAAGCGCTGGCTTAGTGCTCTGCGGTGCCCAGGGGCAAAATGATTGCAGAAAGGACTGGAAACCAGGAGGTAGGATGTCAGGATTTTTGAATTGTCTCTGCCACTGACTAGCAATTTAACTCAGAGCAAATCACTTTTCCTCCTGAGCCCCTTTCTTTTTTATAAAAATAAGTGGGTTGGATTAGATAGTCAGTGAAGTCCCTTTCCAACCTTAAACTTCTGATTTCAATGTAATTCACTACCTCAAGTTATTTTACTTTGTATTCATCACAAGGATCAGGCCCAATGACTATGAAAATTACCAGACTGAAAACCACCAGATGACGACCCCAGAGTCCAATTTCTCGTTACTCAAGTACGTTTTCAAAAATCCCAAACCAGTCAGAAGCAGTTTAGGAAAAAAAAAGAAAAAAAATCCCAAATTACCTCAGGAAACAAAGCTTAATTTCTCCTCAGAGATCACTATTAGCAGAAAAGGCTCTCAGGGATCAACTCGGGCCAATTAATGGATCTCGTAGAAAAGTGAATTGTCTCAAGTACAAAATAAGGACCCTGTTTTGGGCCTCATAAACAGAGCGTCTATATATGATACAAACCAAAAGAACTAGACGTTAGGTGACCATGTAACACAAATTGGAAGAATAACTCCTTGGCTGGGTCTACATTCAGGAAAGATAAACTTCTAGTGAAAAAGGGGGTGGGGGAGAAAGAACCCACAACCTAATTTAGATTCACTCTCACCTTTGCCAATATTCTACAAATTCCTCCCTAATATTTCAATTCTCTTCTGATTCAGAAAACTTGAATATATAATCTATGAACCAATTCAAATTGCAAATCCAGCTGTTATAAACTTTTTTCCACTGCAAACTTGCAAACTTGAATCGACATTTGTTAAGGGGACAAAAGTAGCAAAAAAATTAGCCACGATAATAACCCAGGCAAAACTTATCTAAAGATCCCTCTCAGGAGAAAGCCTGGTGTGGGATGCTAACACCATGCCGCCTAACACAGTCACAGATTAATAAATATTGGCATTGAACCTAATAATTGAATACAAAACAAGGAATGCTTTAGTTTACCTTAATTTTTTTATGCTTGCTCTCGATTTTAGATGAATTAGAATAGATTAACATCCTTTAAGGAAAACTCTCAGTCACAGTTAGCCTTTTGGGAAAGCTACTGTGTACACACACATCCTCCCTGCCAATCCCAAAGGCACTGCATGTGCACATTACACTGGGATGGTGCCAAGTGATGACACTGACACAGCCCTCCTGCCAGCTCTTAAAGCTGTCACAGCGATCATTTCACAAAACACAGTGCCTTGTTCTCCAACAGGAAGAGATGTTAATCTTAGAGGTTTACCTGTTTAAGACAACTGCTGTGTATCTTCTTTCCACAAAAATAATTCCGCATAAAATATTGGTAAACGGAGAAGGAAAATTCGTCTCTGGCTTCTCCTTTTCTTCAATTTCTTCATCCTCATCATCATCCTCAGAATCACTCCAAGACACGTAATTATCCTGATTCCTGTTATTGTACCACTCAACGCTTTCAAACTGCTGTCGCTCATATGGTTTGTATTTGCGTAAGATTTCCAGCAGTTTGATGACTTTAGGAGTTACAAATTTCAGGTCAAGAGAGGCAGGTGAGAAGTGCTCTTCACATAGTGCATGTATTTTCCGTAGGAAAGTGTCTGTAAACAATAGAAATTTCCTGTGCAGCTCCTCTTGTTCGTGTTTGATGTACTTCTGCAGTTCTCTTACCATCATCCCAGCTACTTTATCTGCACACCAGGGGCCCAGAACCACCAACACCGCACGACAGTCTGACAGTATCTACAAAAATATAAAAGGGCCAAACGCTAAACGATGATCATGTAGCACTTTCCTACAGGGATTCCATTTCTTCAGTCTGCCCCTTCAAAATAAATTTACCCCCACTAATATGAACACTGAGGTTAATTCCCCAAGGTCTGGGAGAGGGCCAGTGGTCTGCTCAAGCTCTACTTTTTCATATACCAGGGGTGCCAAGAAAATGTATACACATGAATTGTATTCACCTTTTGTTACTGGTATATATTGAGTATTACAATTTTAATAGTTTTTTTTCCTTTCTAAAATGTGTTAAGCATTTTTTGGCCCCCTCTGTATATGTCCACAGAACCATCCTTTTATTTTCCCCAGCAAAAAATTATCAAATGACAGAAATTAAAAGACACAATTGCATAAAGTTAATAAAACTTAATTTTCGATCTGTGATTAGTTAGTTGGGATACAACTGAGTCATTTATTTCCAGGTAACTATGTAAGGAATTATACAGCAGAGTCATTTTATTTTAGGTATCAAAAAACAACACAATTTATTCCTTTAACTTTCTGCCCACACCTTACAACCCTGGTTCAGAGCAGAATATAAATCCATAGCTGGGCTATAACTAAGGAACCTTCTGCAGGAATGTGAAAGACACATTGGGTAGAACATGGACTTAATACAAATTCAAGGGCTGAGGAGTGTGTGGGTGTTGCTGCTTTAGAAAAAACCAGGAGGAGAGAAATTAAGATGCAGATTCAATACCGTGTTAACACTCACAAAGGGTTGCAAAGTCCTAGGACAAAGTTCTCAAGTTCTAGTGCAGCAGGATAACTGAGGGCTTGTCAAATCTCAGCCATGGAACCCACCGCCAGATGTTCCAGGGGGGTGCTAGGCTGAGGCTGCTGGTCTGGGTGCACACTTTTGAGAACCGCTATCCTAAGGGATCTCTTCTCAAAGCTGGATCCCACTCAGGGACGACGGGCTCATATACAGTTACACACCAGGAAGCAGCAGAATTCCTTTAGCCCAAGGGTTTGAGCAGGAACTGACTCATCTGATCAAGAAATGAAAAAAGTGGACTCATTTCTTTTATTGAAATAACCATGACATGAATCCTAATTCATCTCTTAAATCAAGGAGGTCTATACTTAAAAATAGAAATGTCTGTCAGGTAATAGTAAACTCAACCCAATATACCTTCAATGAAAAGTGTCCAAAGAGATAAGAAGGTAACGCCTTAAGGTAAAACATACAGAAAACGGCCTTGTTAGAAGGCTATTTTCACTTCAATATTAAAAATAAACAGAAGCCTTTTATTATACATCCTACACTTAACTTTGTATATGCTTACCTGTTTAGAAATTAAAGTAGAATCTCTTTCTTTCGAATGTACAGATATGTTACAGTCATTGATAAAATTAAGTGCTTCTTCTAATTCCATCAGCAGTCTTTCATAAAGCCCACTTCTGTCCGTAAATGGTCCACAGTCTACCACAATCTCACATGGCTGAGAAGTGTATCTTGAATATCAGAAACAAAAGTTGTTGACACTACAATCAATTCACTACTGCATTATGAGCCATTACGCATCTAAACCATAAAAGAAACTTCTAGTATGTTCGGTTTGTACGCCTACTTGGGGTAACAGGCTCCCAACGAACCTTCTTGATGCGGTACTTGCTTTGCAGATATACTGTGTTTGCCTGTTGGGGCTCAAGGAATGACTGCAGAAGGTTGGCGGTCAAAGCCTTTTGTGATTGATTATCTCAGGATTTTATTTTGTATTTTGGGATTAAACGTTTATCTTTTGCCCCCTTAGGAACAATGCTGGTCAAATACTAAAGAAATTCAATAGTGATTACTTCTCAGAAGCAGACATCAGGGATTGGAAGGTGTGGGGGGGAGGTAGATCATGGGGGAAAGTGTTATCATTCAATTTATCCATTTCCATACTGTTTGAAACTTTTAGCATTTGTAAATGTCAATTTTGTTTTTAATGTGTTTTTAACATATTCTCATAAGAAAAGCTCCCCCCAACTTTCAATTAATTACGATACCATTCCTTCGATCTTTCATGTCTTTCATAAAATATGTCAACCAAAATGGCACATACTATTCTAAAAGTACAAACAATGATGAATTAAGGAAAAGAAATACAGTAAAGACATACTTAAATACTACCGTTTTCATTATTCTCAAGCAGAATTTATACTTAACCAAAGAATCACATTTGGAGAACGAGGTAATGCCAAATTCAACAGATTACTGATCAATTTTACTTAAAAGCTCTAAGACCTTTACTTCTGAAGATGTCAGTAGTACAGGCCCACCAACCTCATTCAGGCCCCAAAAAGCAAAAGTAAAGCCTGTTAATGCCCCATCACAGAACACTTCGGCTCAGGAAATCAGAAGGGGCATGTCCTAAAGGTCACGAGGTCTGTATTTCATAGGACATTTGGACACCTAAGTTCCACGACCCTGAAACATTCACTTTTCCTCTCCTTCTACAAAGAGAGCTTTCTCCAAAGTCTACTAAATGACAGGCACACTGCACGGTGTTTTCCATGTGTCAATGTAATTAATCATCAAAGAATCCCCTGACTGTCAATGCCAATGTACAGGTTTGGGGACAGTAAATGACTCACTTTAAGGCACACAGCTTATAACTAGTGGAGCCAGTATTCAACACCCATGTCTGACTTAACGCCTGAGAAATCACTCTTCTTTATTTATTATCTAGTCCAAGAACCACCACTTAGTGATCGCTAGCCTTGTTAAAGGCTATATCTACTAAGGATATAAAGGTATTTTAATATGAATTTAATTAGATTTATTTAAAAACCTAATTTATACAGTTTCCCTCCCACCAACTTAAACAAAAAAGTGTGTGTGTGTGTGTGTGTGTGTGTGTGTGTGTGTGTGTGAACGAAACTCAAACTAGCAACCTCCTCAAAAGGAGACAAACCTAGAAATCATAAATATCTTTCTCAGGAATTCACACCCATTTTCAAAAGTACAGGGTGTTTCCAATTATTTTAAAGCATATTATAAAAGTCTGAATTCTCTAAATAATGTTCTTTCAAACCATCATGCAGGACATTTAGGTCAGAAAAAAGAACACACACACCAACAGAGAAAGACACAGATTTACTGTCCAGGCTCCTGGTCTTTGCCACCATCAGCAAACATGAAGGGCCAATGTTCATGCAATATTCTCTCTTAAGGCAGAAACACCTCCACCTGCTCCTCTGTGAAAATAAGGTTAGATCTTTGCCTTCACAGGTAACTGTCCTGACAAAGAACTGTCCGTCTTACTCATTCCTTTTAACAGCCATGTGTTCACTTAGACAGGTACTAGCTGCAAAGCACCATAAAAGATACTCAAGGCTTAAAATCAGGTGTAGCTTGGCTCACTAAAGCCGAGTCGTCTTAAGTGCGTACCTGTCTAAGACCACCAAGTCAGTTGCAGTTTCAGCATTACTCTTAAGAATCTTCTCCAGTTTCTGAATCTTCTCTTCCAATTCCTCTGGATCACATTTTCCGTTTAAAATGGAAGCAGTTAGTCCCAAAATACGAGGGCATGATGGACAGCTTTCACAGAGCTAACATAATAAAGGATACTGACAGTAAGGAATTCATTTTGCAAGGCCATAAAAAGAGACATCACCATATTAAAACATGTCAAAAAGACTGACAAATACTAAATATATTACTTATGGAATTATTGGAGCTTGTTTAAAAGAGCTATTTATAAAAAAGGCATATTTAAATATGCTATGACATTATCCAATTCATTGACAGAGTATGTAATTCATTTATTAATACTGTTTAAAATTTTACTACAGATATAGATTATAGATTATTTATTATAGATTATTCTAGGTTATAGATATAAATGAACATTAATTTTATATTCATTCATTCATACACTGGAACCAAGTTCCCAAAACTGGTAATTAATATTATTGTTTTTGATATATAAATATACTGCTTATACTCAGTAATTTGACCTGAATTATTAAGACCAATAAAATCTAAAAACTTACCTTCATAATTTCTCGGTAGGGGTGGTCTAGGATTGCAAGGTGACACTCATCAAACACCAAAAGGTTAATGTCTGACAGTGATAAGTAACCATTTTTCAAAACATTCAAGGCGACAAAGCAAGTCATAACGAGAACCTAAAATAAAATCGACATCAGTATACAAACGTGCCATTCACCTGCCCGGATACACTTACATTAAAGGAGATTATGGTGCCATTGTACGTAGGTGAAGACTAAGAAATCCATTAGTCAAAACAAAAAGTCTAAATGTCTGGAAGCTCACACTTTGGAATCAAGAAGTAGAATTAGGAAAACATGAAACAGAGTAAGAGAAAAAATTCTCGATAATGGAGACCATGTTTTTATGATAAATCTATTAAATCTACTTCAGGTGTTCAGGTTCCCATGGTCATATTTTGACTGATGAGACCTGTCAATTTAAATCACAAAACAATTCACACTTTTTTCCCTTTTTTTCTGTTGAACTGACAAGGTTTTCTGGAAGATGATACAAACTTAATGTTCTTTTTATAGCTTATCATTCTGTGGACCTTTACATGCTTTTTTAATTGAGGACTTAACCCAATATGTGAGGCATACTAGGAGACTGCAGATGCTTAAGTTAGTTAGGAAGCATCTCTTAACCATTTCAGATCCACCAACACCAATACACAGGCCTCCAATGCGTGCTGGCTACATGGAAACGTGAAGTTAGAGGAAGCCTCCAGCAAGGACCCAAAGACCTCAAACCACGACATTATCTGCAGTTTCGCACTTAGGAGTAAATTTTCTCAAAGCAGGTTATCTGCAAGTTGGAAACAAGCAGTAGGAATTTGTGCTTTTCAAACCATAAGTCACACTACAAAGCTATTTTTTTTTTTTAGAAGCAAGCAACACAAATTAGCAATTTAGGTGGTTTTAGGAAGAAACTCAGTGAGAAAGAGTAGATAAAGGCTAGTTTCTAGAGGACAAGATACAGGAAAGCAGTGTTTTCAAGCCTAACGCAGACAACCAAGGCTACAGGTCATCTCATAAACCCAGTCAAGAACTTGTAGGGATTTATAGAGTGCAATTCTCCACAAGTCTTACCTGGTGCTTAGCAAACTCTTGGTTCCATTTCTCTTTTGTCCAAGATGCATTTACTTCTAGGTTTGAGTATTCCCCAACCTTGAGATCTGAATGAGTTCTGACAGCTGACACTTGTTGAGCAACCTGGTTTGCTGATTACAGATACATTCCATGTAAATATGAGAAATCTTACTTAGTTGGCCCTCTGGACTACTAATGGTTAAGACAGTTAAGGAAACCCTTATTATTCTATATTATACCTAACCACCTATTTTTTAGATAGCCCACTTAAAATCACATTTCCAAGGTTATATCCTCCAAAATGTACTTGTCAGACTCACCACCCTGCCTTCTGTCATTCACTTCAGAGAATCTTATATCGCCTTCCTTCTTTACAGCTGATTTCCCCTAACCTAAGAACGTGACTCCTGGGGAGGAATGGTAACTATCCCACAACCACCCCTCCTGTTTTCTTCAATAAAATCAGATCGTTTCACCAAGAAGTAGGACAGGCTAGTGTGTATTTAGAGCACATGAGAGCATCACATGCTGAGACAATCTAAAAACAAAGGAGAGGACTGACATGGTTATACTAGCACCCTCACAACTCAGCTTCACACTTTAAACTTTTGACTTTAATATATAATCCCAAACACAGAAAAACCAGTATTTTAAACTGTTAAGAAGCATCTAACTTTCTTCCTACAACTGAGATAGTAAAATCATCAATCAAAAAGTTACCTATCTCATAATCAAGCACATTTTGACATACTCTGTGAAGCTAAAACATCAAAAACAAAAGTAACTGTAACAACTTAGATTATGTTCCAAAAGTCATTCATTCAAAAGAAATGTGAAATCAGAATTAAATGCAATTACACTGATGAAAAAAGCTAGTTTCACACCTGTAAAATAAAATGGCTGACATTTAAGAGAAATACTATCAAGTTAAGAAATTAGACAGTTATTATATTTCTGCTATCAGAGCTTCCACAGGACTTTACTCATCAAACTCTCTACACTTTCAATAATTTAACCTAATGCCCACAGAGAAAATCTGCTTAACCATAAAATCTCATCTAATTTCTTCCACACAATGTGATAAAATAATGTTTTATTACCAGAGTTGACCAAGAACACCGTCCTCTTTCCATGCGTGCTGAAGTCTCCCCTGATCTGATAGGACAGCTCTTTAGTGAGTAGTACTGCAATAAACGTCTTCCCTGAGCCAGTGTTCAAACAGACTATGGTATTATGATCCAGAGCTGCTTCAAGCAGTTCGACCTGGAAATACAGTGGAAAAGAAGATTATACACTTCTCATCCAAGTACAAAATTTAGAAAACTGGACTTTGTTTGAATTCAGGAAATTTCACTGTTTTCTAAAATCTTCCTCCAATAAATTTGCCAAAAACCATATTTTCTACATCTTTATATAAGAATAATCAGAGGCATTAAAATGCTTGCTATATATAGCTGTGCTGCGTAAACATATGTTGAAACACATTTGCAGTTTAAGAATGATTTCTGCGCTGAAAGAATACTTCTCTAGAGTTATATGAATGACCAAATTTACAGTAACCATGGTTCTGCCAGTACATGGCTGTTCAAATCCAACTCCATTCTGACCCAGCTCATGAGGACAGACACATCCAAATGGCTGTGAAGGAACAGTGAGGTTTTCAGAGGGGCAAAAATACGGAACTTCAATATAAAACTATCAAACCAATTATCCAGCAGATGTTAGAAAGGAAAAGGACTATTACGAACAAAGTATTTGGAATGAGAAAATTAATCAGAAGAGGAAAGCTTGAAAAGGTAAATGAGCTTTATAAGTTGTGTCAACTATATGCTAACGTATTCCATTTTAGTGAAAATGCTCAGTATTAGTGTTCTCATTAGTACCTGATATTTTCTTGGCGTATAAATGTTATCATGAATTGCTTCTTGTTGCCATGGCAGTCCAAAGAAAGGACCCATTGGTGAGGAAGCAGGGGTCATGAGCTGCAGGCCTGCCATGCTGAGGGGTTGCAAAGCAGGGCTTTTCATTCATCCAGTGTTTCTTTCATTGCATTTTTGTTCTAGCACAGCTTACTACAAAAGGGAAAAAGAATACCATTACACAACCATGCAGGGTTAAAAACAAAAGAAAGCACAGAAACAAGAGAAACATCAGAATATCATTCCTAAGGGCCTTTCAAACTCTTCCTATAATTGTTTTAGCTTTTTCTCGAGCTAAGAGGATCGTTTTAAAAGTCAAGCATTCTATACTATCCAACCCAGCAACCCTACAACCTAGAAACTTGTCTAAAAGAATTAGACAACTACTCATATACAAAGGTGTAAGTACAAGAACATTTACTGCTGTGTTATTACTAAGAACAAGAAATAACTTTAAATGTATTAATAAAAAATTAGCTGACTAAATTATGGTATGGCTATCTAATGGAATACTTTGAATCTATTAAGATAATACATACAAGTATCTGTATTTACTGACATAGAACCATGTCCATAATATACCTTTAAAAGGAATACATGTAGTATGACGCCTTTTAAATATATGTATATATAAAACATGTACATAAATATATTTCAAATTTTATTTGTAAAGTCTACGATGCTATTATTGATAAAATAATGATACAACGTGCAGAAGACACTTCGCACTGTGCCTGCACGCAGGATTCCAATGCCTGTCAACATTTAGTCATTTCATCAAAAGACCAGCAACACAGCTCTTTTTCTCAACAACCTAGCACAGATGATCAACTATGTAAATATGTATCTTTAAAATATACATATCCTGGATAAACGAAAACAAAGCACACCATTCTGTGAAATGATAGTTTTTTTCATGGTATCTATACACTACTCTGTATTTCATGTACTCTTTCCCAAAGATAAATTTATTACGTAAAGTGACACAATTAAAACTGGGTCTCTGTAAAACCTCTAACCTGCTGAGAGAGGGTTAAGGCTTCGAATCTCTACGCTGAAGTCCTGCCTCAGCTTTCCTGACTGTCAGCAGGATGTACCTGCCCATAGAAGGGAATTTGCTCCCTGTACTGCTGTGGACTGCTCATTGTTACTACTCTATGAAACTGGAAAGAAAGAATACGGCTCTTTGTTCCTTGACAACAGAAACTTTGAATCCCTTGACATATAAAATTTATAACCATGGTACCACACAGTGACTTAAGTTGTAGCATCTAATCCAACGAGAAGTCTCAAGTGTAGTCCTCTTATGCACAGGCACAATACCAAATTCAGATTCCAGGGATTAATTCTGTTGACCAGAATTCACCATCCAACCAACACAAGTGTGATCTCTGCAGGAGGCAAGGACCTCAGCAAGGCAGGAGCATTTGCGGGCCAGACTACAACCGTTCTCATTACCTTCTCGTTCTCATTACCTTCTCGGAGGAAGATGGCAAGCAAAGCAGGCCAGAGTAAGTTATGAAACTCTACGAAGTCACTACTTCCCCTGGATCAAAGAGATAATCATTCATTTCCCCTGGAATCACAGACCCAACAGCCATTCCCTTCGCCCCACATGAAGTGTTCACTCTTCTCAATTCTGCAGACCCACAGGATGTACCCCCTCAGGTTCACCTTTCAAGCCTGTCACTCAACACAGCTGCCAAGAACCCTAAATAAAACTCTATTTCACCTAATTCCCCGAGATCCACCAGGTCACTGAAGGCCCAAGGCTGAGACCTGCAGGCACATCCCACCTGGCCACCTTCATGGGAGCCCTGTATCCATCTCCTTCCTTCTGGAGGCTGTTTCCCATCTAGATCATTTATCCTTCAGCATGACCCCTTCATTTCTCACCCAACCCCAACGCTAATCTAAGATCAATCACACATGGTAGAAGGTGTCAGGAAATCAGTCTAAATCCTGGTGGCGGGTGGGATAAAAAGAAGAGGAGGGTAACAGTGCAACTCCCCAAATACACCTTTCCACCTCCAGAGACCATGCACAGCCAGGAACAGAAGCACCCTGTCCTCCCTACCACTGTCACCGTGTCATCATTTCTTCTCATATAGATGACATTAGCAATAATTATTAACTCCAGAAAAAAAATAAAATGATCTATTTTTTTAAAGACAGATCTGTATTCTTCAAAAATACTCATGTATCATAAAAGTCGAACTATGAAAGCATTCCAGATTAAAGAAGACTGTAAAGAGACATGACAACTCAATGCAGAAACTAACCTCAGACTGGACCCTGTACCACAGAACAATGCCACCAAGGACATTCTTAAGTTCACTGAGAAAACTTCAGAAAACAGCATTAAATTCATTAAATTCACTGAAGTTCTAACTGCAGGGTGGCTATGAGCTATGTAAGAGAATATCCTCACTCTTGGGAAGTGTACACTGAGGTATTCAGTGGTAAAGGGCCATAATGTGTGCAACTTACTCTCAAATGGCTCAGAAAAAGAAACTACGTGTAGTGTAGACATACAGAAAGAAAGTGTGTGTGTGTGTGTGTGTGTGTGTGTGTGTGCACACACAACTGATAAAGCAAATGGGGCAAAAGGGTAAAGCACATATTCTTTGTTCCTGTCTTACTCCTGAAACTTTTCTGTAAGATTGAAGCTATTTCCAAATAAAAAGTTTTAAAAAGTGAATAAATACGACCAACTAGACAAGGAGTTTCTTGAGTATGTCTCCCACCTCTTTGTATCGCCCACGGCACCAAATCACACCCAGAACATGGCAAACATACGATGCAGGTTTGTGGAATGAAAACAATGTCCAGTGAGTGACATAAAAACCTTCCAAAAGCCTCGCTGTCTTTCAGAAGTGGTAACATGTTGCATGTACTCACACAGATACACACACACACCTTATTCTTTTGCGGGCACACGTACTCCCTAAGAATGAGATGTCTGTCTCATTCTCTGCGGCTCTTACATTTCCTGGTACAATGTCCCATATATACCGTTAAAAATTTCTGATTAACTGAATCAGAGATTCATGATGTCCACACAATAACATACAGAAGAGATCACAGACAGTTCAAGAGATATTTCTATTTGGTTTGGAAATCCAAGCCCACCCATTCCTACTCTCCTCGTGGGTGGTGAAGGAGAGAGGACTTGCAAGGAAAGGGAGGACAGCAATTTACCCTCCCAGTTTTATTTCCCATAAGGTCATAATATTAAATTAATTTTCATTCATTTAGTATACAGTGGCTGGCCCCAGTAATGTACTTCCTATTTAGGGAAAGCAAACTCAAGATTTAAAAATTCAACGGGTAATCCAATAATGTGAAAACAAAAAAACCTATAATTTTGCCAATTTTTACTTTCTTTGGCAGGTTGAAATAGATTTTCCCCCCCTTAACTTGGCCTTAACGAAAAGCTCTGAATCCCTGAAGGTGGGTCAAGTTCTACAGTTTCATAGATGAACTGACTACAGTTAACTGCTTTAGTAGCGCCAACAGGAACTCTACGTGACTTTTTCAATCACAGATTTTAAATCTGGTCAAACAATTTACACTCATAAAACTGGTGAGGTTGTTTTATAGCTTGCATACATTACTCACTTAGAAATAGCTTAGTAAAACACACGAATAAACTATTTTCCTCTTTCCACGTAGGATAAACGCTGATTTACCGTTTTAATGTTTGAGATCCCTGTGTTGCTGTTGTCTGAACTGCATTTTGACATTGTGATAGCAGTTTATTGGAAAAATCACAGCATGCCCAAGCTTCTGCTCTAAAAATAAATGCAAAAATAGCCAATTTTAAGATTCCTGTACTTAAACTGAATGCAAACACATCTATAAGAAGTCCTATTGATATGAAGAGCTGAATAAAACACCATTATTTTTGTATTAAATTTTAAACAAAAGACATTTGGATTATTTTAGGATACTAAGTGTTATCTAAAACAAAGAACAAGAGAATGAGCTGCGACAATACCATGCCTAATTCCCAGAGATCTGGGAGAAAGCAAAAGAGAAAAGTTCAAGAAAAGATTTCAAAATGAATACAAAGAAATGAAACAAATCCTAAAGTTAGGGACTACGAAAATTAAAAAGCATAAAAATAAAAGGATAAGTTATGTATTATTTCCTAAATTCACATACACACACAAAAATAATGAAAAGTGAGTCACCAGAAAAGGTGGCTTGGCTGAAAAATCCAAGTCACCTGGTAATAAGTCTTCAATATGTGTATAAAATACGAGCAATTTCAACTTCTCAAAATGAAATTAAAAACAAACTCAAATAACAGTTAAATCCACATTATAAACTCTTATAGAA